GAGAACAATGGCATGTGGAAAGCCCAGCCTTGGTCTAGCTTATAAGATCACTTGAGCAAGCATGTATCTACGGTGAGAGTTGTTACACTCATTAGTACATCGCATTTATATCCCACCCTTTTCCCTCATGTGAGGAACCCGAGGTGTCTTCCATAGCTCCATTTTATTCTCCCAGCGGCAACACTGTGAGGTAGGTGTGTCCTGCCTCATTGGTTTTTTATTTCCATTGAGTTTTAAAGCAACAGCAACCATGTCTAAACAAAGCATGATTGCCCACTATCAGTCTGAAGTGATGCAGTCCGCTCTACTCCTAGGGCCTTCTGAAGGCCAACCTAGGTTTGGATACAGGACCAAACTAAAGCCCTCTTCAGGCATTCCTGAAACTATGTTGGAACGGATGTGTCAGGAGATGGAGCGCTCCATCCCCACCCCTCATCCTTGTCAGGCTTGTCATCCTCCGCTGGTGGATTGTCTGCCTGGGGAAAGTGGTCCGTTGTATGGCTGAGTGAATGACAGACAAGGAGAATGTTCCGGAGAAGCACTTCTGGAAGCCCCTTCTCCTCATGCAGCCATATCATCCCTGCATTTTCAGAATGCCTGAACGAGCCTTAAAAACATGCTACTAATTGGTTTACTTGCTTTAGCATGCAGGAGCTTGGTTTGGGCCAGAATGGCTTGCTTGTTTTCAGCTGGACCTCCCACACACAGGTGGAAAAATGAAGGAAAAAAAAAACTTCATTGGATTCTGGTGCAAACGTTCTTTCTTTTTTTTTACCACTGCACGTGTGTGTGAGAGTGTGCACAAATTATGGCTGAAAATGGGAGGTGGGAAGCTTAAACCTCTGCTACTGAATGCCACCATCCTAGAAGGAACAAGGCAGCTGCAGTCAGGGAAAGTGGAATGAAACAGTTAAAAGATGCCATGGCTAGTACAGCTTCCCCTTAGGGTATTGTATAACAGCAATATTTTCCTAGACCCTTCCTCCAAGTTGCAATTTGTATAGGAAATGGTATGTGTAAAGCTCTGGAATTTGCGATGCTTCTGCATTCAAGTACAGTTCCAGCAGAGGAGAACATCCTTGTCTGACCTCTGTGCGGTTGTGATTCATTTCCTTAGGGGGAACAGCTGTTTGGTAGCAGTTGCCATCTTTGACTACATGGATGCGGCAGTGCTGTGAAAAATATGTGGTGTGCTCTTCATTACTGTAGCTGCAATCACCGAGACGAGTGCACTGGAATGTTAGCATAGAAGCTTGCATGTAACTGGTGCAATGTCACCAAATGGTCATTCTTTGGCAGCATTTTTTGCACGTCTCCAGATATATATGTATATAGGCAGTGGTCTTCTCTGAGGACAGTGCGGAACTCTTGGCAACATTTCTCCCTCTGTGTCAGCAAATGCCAGGGCCAGGCTTCAGTATCATCAGAGGGAGAAACCAGTCTGGTCCCAGGGTCAGGCTGCAGGATTCTTCGTGCCAAGCACACAGCTCGGGCAGGGGTGTCCAGGAGAGTGGTCTGGGAGGGCAGCCGCAAGTCAAGGAATCTGTCCAGTCCAAATGAGCACGGCAAGCGTTGGGTTGAAATGCGTCGTCTGCCGCCGAGCACAGGCTCTGGCAGGGCTCATCTAGAGCTGGCTGCGAGTCTGCACAGCTGGCAAATCAGGTCAGCACGTTGCTTTGAAGGGAAGCCCTGTGCTGAGCCTTCTGTTTGGACTTCTGACGCCCGCTCCTAATTCTCCCCTTTGCAAGGGCGAAATTGCCTCCAGCTCTGCCTCCTGCTCTCGGGCAAGTCCAGGAATGGCCCAGGAGGGCCCAGGCTGCTCTTCCACTGGACAGGCTTCAGCTGCAGCATCCACATTGCTGCCTGGCTGTGGGTGCCCTGGCTGCCCCCGCCTCTTCCTCCTATGACGCTTCCTCCTCCACATAGGGAATGGCAGCAAATTCCAAGTGAGAAGGGAGATGCTGCAGTGGCTTCAGCCTTTCTGTCCGCTGCAGCTCGGACTTGTGCAGAAGACATCTGAGAAGCTGAAAGGGCAAGGTCATTGTATGTCCCTCTTGTTCCTGCCTCTGCAGCAAAGTGATTTTTCAAGACGCTTGTCCCCAAGACATTTTTGTTGTTGTTGCTTGAATTCTTACACCACCCCTTGACATCGATGGTTCTATGTTAGTGTGATGGGTCAGTAACTTCATTATTCTCTATGGACTGAAATCAGGGCCATTAAAAACTAAAGGAACAAGACGAACAGCTTGCTGCATGTGAACAAACTTGTCACATAAGGCTGTATTTCACATAAAGGAACTTGGGCCTCCCACCCTGGCAAATCTGAACATCTGCAGCTCTCACTTGGACCCTTCTTTCCCAGGTGGATGCCTCTCGGGCTGGGGTATGTAGGAACGATCAGCGTCTGCCTTGGTACCAATTGTTTCTATGAATTATGACATTACTTTTTGTCACATATAACACTAAGCCACTCCAGTTCAGTAGCTGCTTAAGGATTTCCAAAAAAGGAGGAACTGATTCAGGAAAGAAGCATATGCTTATACATATATATGCAAATTTAGAATTGACTACAAGAATTTCCATAGAAACACCATGTATTTCACTGTGACCAGTTGACCTCTCTACCTTCTCAGTCTACTATCTAGGTGCTGTTTATAGATAACTGCAGGGGCTGTTTATAGGCCCCTGCTGAAGCCCTTCCTTTCTTAGGGTTCCTTAATTTCATATTGGATGTGGAGTGGTCACCCTTCAGAGGATGTCTTCACATAGAGGACTATAAAGCGGAGCACATGCCTCCCCTACGCTCCAGGGATGATGATCAACCTGGATCTGTTCAGATGTTTTGGGCTACAACTCCCATCAGACATATGCAAGATGGCCCATAGTCATGGATGATGGGAGTTTGTTCCAGAACATCAGGCATTTGGAAAGGTTGAGTCTGAGACTCCCTAAATAAGTTGTTGCCTGTGACTTTTGCTTGTTTTGTGGACTGTTTTGGTTACTGACACTCCAGGGTCATCCATATTGTTTTGTTTGCTTGTGGTCCAGGGTCATCAGAGCCTGGAGCAACTGGTTATCTGAAGATATGTCAGTGGAACTAAGTCCTGATCAGAGTGGTGATGTTTCTGAGACAAGCTGGATCACAAATCAGAGTGGTTTGAAAGCAAGTGGTGGACTACAGTTTAAAGGATTTGGTTCCAGAGTTTAAAATGTTGCATGTATGATGCAAATAAATCATCATTGTTATTATCATTAATGATAATAATGATAATACTGTTGTTATTATTTCCTTTTCTACATTGCCTCTTAGTGGCAGCCATTTTGGCAGTTTACAGCAATCCATAAGAGCAAAGCAGCATTAAAATTTGAAAAAGAAAAAGCAGACAGATCAGTACATGGGGTAGATACCTATGGGGCAAGAGTCTGCATGCCGTAGGCAGACATGCGGCTCTATATTAGGTGTGTTCTAGAACTGCTTCCGAAGTTGCAAAAGGAAAACAGAGATCACTGCTGCACAGGCAGTTCTGCAAATCCGGAATGCTGACTGTGCTGTGATGATTCTCCAGGCCTATAGATTCTGCAAAGCTGCCAGTGGCTGGACTTGTAAATGTGCATGCGATGCAGGTGCTTGCATACATGTGGCCCTTATTCGTGTAGCTATCAATTGGCAGTACAAATGTTCGACGAAGGTTCCTTTCAATGCCACTGATTTGGAGGAGGGTTGGGCATTGAACCACCCCGTGAATGCACTCGTTGGAGGCACCTTAGACTAGCGTTTCTTGTGCAGCACAGTTTTTCTGGGGCGGCTTTTGCGCCATGGCGTGTGGCAGGCAGGTCTGAAGAAGGCGTCTCGTTACTTCTTAGACGATCAATAAGACACCCAACACATCACCTGCAGATTTTTTCCCTTCAGTTTAACTTTTATTAAAAGAGGCTCTAAGGTACTGTACTGTATCCAGTACATGATATTTATTACCAAAATTATTAACAAATATACAAAACTTATATATGGAATATTTATTACATCCATTTATTCCTCTATAATACTGCATTTGTTCAAGTAGGTTACCTACAGTGTAAACTTCCCTCAGTTTGATCTCACTGCATTTGGGAAAGCCCCTCAAACCTCATACAGGGTTTTTTTGTTTTAAAAAAACGTTTTTTGGCTTTTACTGGTAGCATCTGATTTTCCCATTTGGCACATGGAAGAAATATCTACAGTGCAAAAAGAGGCATCTTTCTCTGGTTTAATTCTGAACCACACTTTTGAAAGCCGAGGAGGAGGCTCAATATAAACTAATTTGATATTAGTATTAATACTGATGAGACGCAGGTCGGATTTCATTCAACAGGAGTGCAGTTCTGTGGCTCCTCCACCTTCCCCCATGATCAGACACCTTTTTGCTGTGCAAGGTGGCAAAAGTCAAGGCCTTAAAAGGGCCAACAGACTCTTACTGGGGACAGACCACCCCCCTCGTTTTATCTTGTTTCATTCCGTTTTGTGCCTACTTGAATTTGCCATCAAGCAATTATTTATCAACCGAGATAGGAGTGGAGGGCACCATCCACTTGGGAAGGCTTTCTGCAGACAATTCCCCCGTGAACCGAAGTTATGGGTCTTCAAACGCAGATGTAAGGAACTTAAGAAGCCGTCATTGAAAACAAAAAGCGAAAGATGATAATATCATTCGAATCAGGGAGTGAAGTGTTCAAGTGTCGCCATAAAAAAGAGGGGGAAAGAACGAAAGAAAAGAAAACCAAAATGCCCAGGAAATATTTCCCACCCCCTTCTTCTTGACATTGTTTACAAACATAGCTTAATGTAACTGAGTAAAGCTGATCCAGAGAGTGCTTTTATTTATTTGCACTCCTATTCTGCATTCTCCCTCAAGCACCATATTGCTATTTGTAGGAGACCATCTCACCCACGTCCCCATCTCTGAGGATTGTGACTTCGGATGGCTGCACTGAGTACTGAGGACTCAGCCTTTTCCTTTCTGTTACCAAAGGGCCCCGCTTCCTTCTGTGGCTCCATACATTTCAGCCAGTTTCTTGAAGCGAGGCCCCCAGTCTGTCAGATAGTCGTAGCTCTGTTCGGAGTCCGTAGTTACAGACTGCAAGGAACTGAGGGACTCTGCCACTGAGCCGTTGCCTTCGAACATATAGGTCTGGAGAGAGTCAAAGGGGGGCGCCCAGAGGTCCATGTCGGCTTCGTAGAGCTTGGCCAACACGTAGCCGTGGACACTACTGTCCATTGTGCAGGCCTGGGGAACATATCTGGAGAGGCTTTCGATTTCCGGCATCATGTCCTGCCTGCTCTTCATGGCCACTTGGGCCTCTCTGGGGTTCCACAGGGCCGCAATGTCAAAGGCCTCTGTGTCTTCCTCCCCACCCCCCTCATCATCGTAGCGGACAATGTTTTCATGGATGTTCTCCTCCTCGTCAATGATATATGGCTGTTTCCTGTGCCTTCTCATGGATAAGATGAGCAGCACCAGCACTGTCAGGAGGTAAGCAAAAAAAACCCGCAAGACATTTAAGAGGACATGTTGCTTAAGTCACTGCCACAGTGTCCCTCAGTCAAAGGATGACTAAGGATGAAGCATATCAAAACCCGAGAGGCTTATGAGCACGGTGACTTTGTTTGATCACTTTCCCCAGTGACCCTTTTCTGTGCTGTGCTAAGACAAGGCTGGCCAGAGGTAAGTCCTCCTTGTTTCTGGTGCACAGGTGGGCAACTTGCAGAGGCTGGGGGGATGGGGGACGAACACTTCCCTGAGGGCTACATTCCTGCCTCCCCTGCCTTGTAATGGGATTTGGGTGGCATAATGCCAGTGGGGCTCGCAAGCTGGTCAAGGAGGGTACATGCAATGTATGCCTGACCTAATTTATGAGCTGCCACTTATACTTTTGCAGATCTCTTATCTTTCCAAGCAGGTATGTTTCGAAGCCCAGTGTTCAAAGCTACTGCCTACCGCCTACTGACATTGTACGTCTGTTCCGGTTTTCATGAAAAGAGGGAAGAACTTCGAGGCACAATGATTAGCGCCAAGCTGGGATGTTTGTGATGCCCACCACTGTGTCCAGTGCTGTACAACTAACTCTCTTATCCTGCTAGAGTGAATCTTACCTGCAGCATCCAGTGCGAGGTGCAAAATAGTATCTACAGGTGGGCTTACTCCATGAATTAAATAAGTGGTTGTTTCTGAACAAATACTCCAGGAGCTGAGCTCAGAAACCCTTTCTCACAAAAATCTGCTCTTCTGAGTGGTTTTTATTTTAGTGGAGAAACTTTTTAATTGTTGCTATTTGTCTCTGGGAGCTCTTTCCAAGGAAGATTACTTTTTTAGTTGTGGTTGTAGAATGAGTTTGGTGAGGTGCACTTGGTGCCTACCTGGTATTGTACTTTTGGTCCCAAATGCATGCCCTTTTATTTTCCCAGCATTTAAGACTTTATTTTTTACTTTAATTTAAATATTGCATTTTATTCTGTACTGCTGCTATGCTTTCTATGCTTGATTCAATTGCAATCGCTATTGTGGTTCTGTTGTTTTTAGTTAATTTTGTTTGTGTGTGTGCCTTTTTAAAGTTTTGTTAACTGCCCAGAGAGTCTCAGCTATTGGGCAGTATAAAAGTGAGATAGACAGACAGACAGACAGACAGACAGACAGATAGAGATCTGTTTATCTGTTTTGTAAGCCGCCCGGAGGCTTTTGGTGAATGGGGTGGCATAGAAATGTTTTAAATAAATAAATAAATAGATAGATAGATAGATAGATAGATAGATAGATACTGTTAAGACAATTGGGAATCAGAACTACTTTAAATCATCCAGCGTGAACTTCTGTGTATCACTGGCATAGTGGTCTAGTGTTGAAACTACATGGAATGAATGATACTTGCTGCATATCAATAGCAAGTCACTTGAATACCTGCATTAATTTGCAGAAATTGTGAACACAATTTGAAGAAATGCTTATTGTCTGTACCTATAATCCATCTTGGGTAATGTCCTTATTGAGATCTCTTTATTAGCAGGATTGTACAAAAAGTCGGTTTGCAGGGATGGGGAGAAAAAAATGCCTGACTATACAGATGCCTGCACAGTCCGAGTCTAAGGACGATATGGAGGATGAGGGTAGGGTTGCAGGCATTAAAACTGGCCTGTGCAAGGGGACGTGATTGCTTTTTGTTCCCAGACTGCTGGGAAGCAGTGTGTAATTGTCCGTCCTTCACTTTTGTGAAACCAAAATCCAGTAGTTAACCCCGAACTGCCTCCAGCTTGGACAGGCATTGGCTCTCCCTACTGAGGGTACGGTAGCCTCCCCCACTGTGCCTGAAGTGCTGAGGGTAGTGCCCTTTGCTCCAGCAATGGTAGAATATTTACCTAACAAGACAAAAATGCAGGCTAGGATGGCAATAAGTGCTCCTCTGCTCAGCGTGACTGGAAGTACGTAGGCCTCTGCATTGCAAGACATCAGAAGGCCTTTGTCATCACAGTTGCAGACGTGAATGGTTACCGTCCCAGTGCTGCTCAGCATGGGATGTCCGTTATCAGCTATCAAGATCGGAAGGTAAAAGGTATTCTGCTCATGCTGCCGGAAGCCTGATCTCCTGGTTAGAATCCAAGCTGTGTTGTCTAGAGGGAGAAGGAAAAGATGAAGATGCCAACACTTATTTACAAAGCCATAAGCCTTCTAGGGGAGAGAAACAGCCTGGTGAAAAGGGATGCTGGGGAAATAATCAAGAGTTGGTGAAAATGTGCTTGGTCAATCTGAAATATACTTTTGCAGCAGTAACACAACAGTTCTGTGTCACAAAAAGGAAAAACCTTTTCCTGTGGACATGTGTCTCAGAGGCCAAACCTCATTGGAACTGCTATCAGAAAGTAAGAGAAAATTAGTCAGTTGTGGGTTGCCCGTCCTTAGCAGATTTTTTTGACCTGATTTTGTTTGTTTGTATGTTTGCCTGTTTGTTCCCAGGGAACTGAATTAGGCTACTCTAGGCATGTGGCTCTTAATCTGGGTGTAAGAAGTCCTGGTTTAAATTTTTCAAGGACCTCATGTTTAACTCCTTGGCTAGGAAAATATGGCTCAGAGAGCAATTCCATGCATGTTTGAACAGAAAGAAAATATGGCTAGATGGGGGATATTAGGAATTGTGGGGTTTTTTTTATGACTAGCATGTGTAGAATTGCACTTCAGTAGTTCAGGTCGGATGCTTTTATTGAGAGCTGCAGGTTTGAAGGTCCTTCCAGAGCTGAAGGAAAACTGGGTTTTACATATCAAACATACTACAGAAGAGCCTACCCTAACCCTAACCCTAAGCTCAGGAGAGGAAAGGATTCAGCCAGCCCCTTCCAAGCGGAAAATCAGCACACTGTATCAGAGATGGTGGTGATAATTTGGAAATGTGCAATTACTGTGGGAATCCTGTGTGTGCATTCCCAGCTGTGCTCACCCTTCCTTAAGTGGAGAAGTAGGTGTATGGAGACATACTTCTACCTATGGATCTTCCCTGCAGGAAATAAGTTTCTGATATGAATGTATGTTGTATCTACTGTAATGCTGGGCCTTCACTAGTATGTGTGCGCATTTTGTTTGGTACACCATTTCCTTGCCTTTGGAAGTGGCTTCCACAACGTGCTTCAGAATCCTTTGCTCTTTTTAATATTAATTAAATTTTGGGTTTTTTAATGTTGGTGTTCATATGTATTTGTAGTATGGTGTTCCGGATGTATTGGAGTTCAGTGTGATTTATGTGGAAGTTTCCTGCTGCTGTTCATTCTTTTTATTATGAAGCATGAATAACAACTATACTTTGGTGGCTACATAGAGTGTAATTTTCCAGCAACATCTATGCTTTCCCTACCTTTTAACTTCTTTTACTAGCGTAATGTTAGGGCAGGACTCCAGTTGAACCTTTTGGGAATGTCTAGACTTGTTGACTAATTGACATTTCAAGAGTAATGCATTTGTGCCAATCTTGTTCTAGCTTGTGTCACAAGATGACAGAGTGATCTGATGCCGTAAGTATTGTTTGCAAGTAATGTGATGGGATAAGATACAAATGTCAGAAATCCAAAGGTTTCCCATTTCTACCCCAAGACTCTTTTGTGCTGTTCCATCTCTTAAGATAGACATTTTCACAAGAGAGTTAGATGTGGAGTATGTTTTTCAGCACACTTGCTATACAGGATGCAGAAGCCACTGCTGTTCATTGTTTACATGATAAATGTTCCATTCCTGCATGCTATGACAAGGCCTCAGTGGAACAGGTCATGGGTTTAACCAGTGCAGGTGCTGTCCCCAAGACCAGGGAGTGAGCTCTACGTTGCAGGGGTAGTCATGATGTGGTAGCACTCATGTGAGTAGCAACCATCCACACCTCCTATATAACCTTGAGCTTAATTCCTTTCAGAAGGCTGTATTTAAGTTTACTGAAATGGGTATCATGTAGGGTTTGGAAATGGATTAATTTACTTTCCATTATTTCTATTGGGGAAAATTGTTTCAGATTTCAAATGATTCAGAGTTCAAATGGCCTCCTGAAATGAATTAAGTTTGAAGTAAGAGGTGCCACTGCACTTATCATAATATAACCTCTAGGATGAAATATGGCTGATTTACAGTTCTGAAGATGCCTATTAAAAAAAGAAAGAAGTTAATATTTAAATGAGCATTAAATGCCAAAGGGCACAGCCAGTTGATAACATAAACCTATAAAGTGTCTATTCTTGTGATGGATAAAATTCCAAAAACTGGCTCGTTGACAGCAAAGTAAAAGAAACAGCAGCTCAGTCATTGCTGGCATTCCAAATTACTTATTATTTTGACTTAAGATATATAAAAAGTACATCTGATGTTGAGAATCTCTCTCTCTTAGCACGATGCCTCAAGGATTAAGTGAGCCTGAATTACCAAATGTTGTAGGGATGGTTCTTTTCAACTTCATCAGCAGTGCATGTTGAAAAGGGAAGACAAGGTCACCGTGTGCTCTAGCAAGGCAATGCCCCCAGTATCTTGACAGCTGTTTCCAAATAACTGATACAGGCAGTTTAGTGCTACAAGTATATTCTGATGTGAGAAGGCATCATTCAGCTTCTTGGAAGTTGCATGTATCTAAATATTCCAGTTTTGTCATTGACAGAAATATGATCTACTAATATTTAAAATCTACTTTAAAAACCACTGCATACATATGTCTGTCAATATGTTGTAATCTTGTGGTCTCTAGATGCATACAGTCCTATACAACTTAGCAGCCACAGGTTAGTTTGGGGGATAGGGTGATCTACGTACCTTTGGAACAGGTGATCTGACCTGCGATGCCCCCTCCCAGCCCTGAGACAGTGTCCATGGCCCTTGGTCTTCTCAATGCAGAGCTTAAATATTAATGGGTGCAAAGGTGTGTATGTGAGTGTGTGTGTGTGTGTGGGGGGGGGGGAGACTGAACTTTCCCAGTCTCAGTGATGTCCCTAGTATGAGAGAAATGTACTCAAGTGATTGAGCTGGTACACATGACCTTCCTCCTATTGATTCCGGGGGTTGGAAATTACCACATGTATGCCCCCTTGAGCAAAATACCCTGATGTTCCATTTAAAATCTCAGCAGGGTGAACCTTTTCATGGAAATAACCTTGGGGGGTTTCATACATTCCCAGGTCTGATGTTGAAATCATTTTCACCACTAGATGATGCTACAGGGCTATTTATTTCTATCCCATCCCTTAGACTAATAAAATTATACCTGCAAGTGCCGGTCATTATGCTGCTAAAAGAGATGAATCCGTGTGCAAGGGGCAAGTATAACCAGGAGGTTTTACAAAGTGTTCATAGGTACTCAAAAATATTCCCTCTCCACTTCAAAGGGGAAATAGCCCTAAAGCAGCCCAATGAGAACGGAGCGCTCTCCTTGGCCATGGAATGCCAGCTGCCATTTGGCACAGGGACTGGAAAACCAAAGTGCGTGTGAAGGAGGATCAAATGGAGGATCTTCATGACAGGCTGGCTGGCTGGACCTCTGAATAAAAGCACGCATCTAGGGCCACTTATTTATTTCTGGGCACAAGTAGTTTTTTGTAGATAGGACAAGTGTGTGTGGCAATTAAGCCACATGTGGGCACCTCATTATGTATTTTGATGGTAGAAAGCCTTCAGGCTTGCCTCAAATTCTGTGCCAGCAGCATAGGCAACAGGCATGAATTGCTTCTCCCAGGGCATTTCTCCATGAGATCTGAAGTCTTCTATGGAGGCCCTGCCATGAGAGCCCTCATCCCAGATACACAGGAGACAGAATTTTCAGCACTGGCCCCTCTCCCCAGAGACGTCCTTCTGATTCCTGCTTCAGGGCACAGCCTTCACTTCATGAAAGCCTCCGCCTTGGAGATGTATGAACTTCCAGTGCATGGAACCTGGTATGGAAGTGGTAGTCTTCACCGCTTTGCACACTGAATTTCATCTCAAGGGCCGTTTTTGGTGGTCTAGATGAAGTGGCGCAGAGGTGGAGGGAGGGGGCTGGGGCACCTGGCTATGGGATACCCTTGGCTCCCACCCCACATCTCTGCTGCCACCACACATGTGTCTTCCTTCTTCCTGAGACCAATGTGCAACCTCAGAATGGTAACTGGTACGGTTCTTTCTGTGCCTGCTGAGAGTGGGATGAGGCTTTGCTGTGGGACTCTTGCACCAGGTCACAGGACCTCGTAGCTGGGACTCTGCATGTATGGAGTCCCAGGGGACGCCAGGAGGCCAAACATGGGCACCCTTAATGCACGTTTGATGCCAAACAAAGGCCTTTTTATTCTCACAGGCCTTTTGAACTCTGAATATTTTGTTGCCATCTCATGTTTTAAGGTGGAGTTATTCTGTGAACATTTTAGACATCTGTGTTATTTATATTTGTTCTGACTTTAGACTGGTTTTTTTAACTTGGCTATTTAATGTGTTGCTTTTTATTTTATCTGATTTTGAATTTTGAATGCATTGATATTACTATTATAGCTATTATTCAATCATTACCCTGAAAACAAATCAAATCAATGACTGAATAAAATAAGCATAAAATGGGTTATTTGGGAGAATTAAAAAAGTAATAAACGTTCTGCAATCAGTGATCCTCTTCTTCTCCTAATGTGTCCAATTGTGAGCCCCTTGGCTCCTATAGCTGCAAGGGGGAGGGACTCCCTGGTATATGCACATAGCTTCTTTGGTGGGGCACAAGCAAGTCCCAGGTACAAAGAAGGGCTTGATTTTGTTAAGGATGAAGTATGTTCAATCATGCTGCAACCAGATGGGCACCAGCTCACCAACCAGCAGGCACCCATGTGGTTCCAAGTTTTGGCAAGCTCTAAGTACTTAAGTAACACATGAATGGGATTTAATTCTGAGTGGGTTCCATCCTGGTAAATGGTGTATTTGAATGAATGCCTGCTGTGAGAAGGCATGGGCAAAGTTTCCATTTCTCATTTTCCAGTACTAAGATTGGTTCAACTAAACTTTGGTGAATTTTTCCAGCCTGAAGTTCAATTCATTTGGAAGGGTGAGAACTAAAAAAAAAGTTTTTAAAAAGTTTGCATGGTCATAGGTACTTTTGATTTCCTAATGCATACTTTTATGTACTCATTTTACCTATCTCCCCCATTTTTTGAAAGCAAACTTCCTAGGTTAATGTATTTTTAAATATTATTTCTCCTGATCTTCACAGTTTTGCATGCAGATTTTTGGTTACTGAACTCCATTGTAAAATTATGAAACAAATGCAGATTTTGAAGAATAACTGAATTTTGGTTTGCCTCGTGGTTTGAAAATGTGAAATCCCTCATCTCTGACTCAAAGGAGCTTATATTCAGGAACATCATTGGCTTGAACCTGATGCATAATATCTGCCTTATATCTCAAACTGTCCAGTTCTCTTACATTCTGGTTGTCATTCCATGAGGGAGTATGCGTCTCTCCACACATATCTGGGCAACTTATGACCAATTTATCTGTGGCTCCAATTTTCTCCCAACTTTGCTTTTCCATTTTAGAAAAACAGCTCGTATATCTATGCCAAATGTGTTCATATATGAGGTCACTTACATTTTAAAGGTAAACAGCAATACGTTTAACAAGAATGCTTTAATTGAGACCAAACATCTGAAATATCAAGGAAACAATATTTTCTGTGTGGCAGGAGTGTGGGGAAAAGCTTGGGATACAAAAAGAACAAAATAACATTCCTCTTATTGTTCCCACCATCCAATTCCATTTTTAAACCTGACCTTTCAGTCATTTTGGGCAGAATCCCACTCACAGAAGGCGCCCACAGCATGACAGCAAGGTTTCGATTTGTACAACACTGGCATATTTCCTCAAAATAAAAGAACCTGTCACTGGGAAGCATGCATACAGGGGCAAAATCTGTATAAATGTTCAAAGTGTAAAATAATATGTCATTTTATTGCTGCCTTTAAGGAACAGGTGTCACTTGGCATTATTTGTCACGACAGCCTTCTGACGTACTGTTAAGCCACAGCCTCTTAAGTCCAACTCATTTCAGAAGACCGTGGTTAGCAAAACAAAGGGTTGTCCACTCCAATTACCTTGATTGTCCCTTAGAGTAAAATTGGGGTTGTTAGCTGCCTCAGGAGCCAAGCTATAGTAGAAGTGCTGTCCCTCTGGTGGGTCATCCTGGTCTACCGCACTTACTGTCTGAATCAGCTGCAGGATGGGAGAGTAAAACAAAGAGACTTCCACTGGAGGGAGAAAACAGCTTTTAAGAATCACACCGAAAACACACCAGGCCTAGCAGTTGAGCAGCAGCATCTTTCAGAAGGTGTTGGGAGAACCGTGAAGGCACTCAAGTGGCTTCAATGCTAATCAATGCTAAGTTGAACAAATTGCGCGCATTTAACGTGGCCAAAACATGAGAAGGACGGATTTAATGAAGGACGACTTTAGAGGGCCCTTGCCTCTTGAGGGCCCATGCTCAGTCCTTGGCATCTCTAGCTGAAAAGAAATGCAGGTAGCATGGGCAAGAAAGAATTTTGTCTGAAATATTGGGGAGATGCAGCCAGCTTATTTATTCACCAGATTTAGAAGGTGTTCTATGTTTAATAAGATTCCTGAACAGTAAGCAATAAAAAGAATGGGGGGAAATCCAAATATAGAATTAAAGTATTAAAAATCAAGCAATTGCCATGGCTGATTGGTCAAGGTAAGCTTCTTCAAATAAAGCAAAAACTGTACCTGTCAAAGTAGATAATGCAAGGCCAAACAAACCAGTGACCTGGCTGGCTCGGCATAACACAACTGAATGGGTTCAGTCCAGACATAGTTAGAGTAGACCCATTGACATCAACGAGATCAGTTAGTTATAACTGAAGTTCCATTGATTAAAATGGGTCTGCTCTGACTAAGTCTTGATCCAACTAAAGTTCAAGATTGGATTTGAATGTCTTATTTCAGGCCTTGAATATAAATACCTGCTGTCTTGCTTTCTTTCTCAATAAGAAGCTGCTACAACCCAACAGATAGGGTACACTTAATTTTACTCTACTGTACTGTATTCTGTCAATGTATTTGATTGCATTATATTGTTGTTATTATTGCTGTTTCTTTTAATGTAAGTCACTTCAAAAAAAATTGGTCTGAAAAGTGAGGTATAAGAAACTTCAGCAAAAATCAAATCAAAACAATCAATCAATCAATGATTATAGATTCATACTGGAGGATGCACTTGGTTTAAAAGAGGAGTACTGCCAAAATTGTTTAAATAGATTTTAAGTCTTTTCTAGAAAGGAATTATGAACAATTTCTATTTAAAGTGGAGGTTTGTAAATTCAAAGACCTGGACATTCAAAAAGTTAAGAGGAAGAAAAAAGTCACCTTGTAGAGACTTTCCTCTTTTATTTATTGCCTTATGGTTAAAACTTTCCTAAAATGGCAGAGTCTATGGTCAGATTTATCTTTAACTACATTCTGAACAATTTTTTAAAAATATCTTTTAAAATATGTGGTTCAATATTATCATGGAGAGTATCAGGCAAAGGTTAAAAGATGTGACATCTTATAGATGCAGCTGTGAATGAGATATGCAGAACTGCATTAGGTAGTGAGGAATAACTCAAAATGAAATCAATCACATATATTAGTTAAATTTCTTTGGACTATCTGGTCCAGTAATTTAGAAGGCTGTTAAATCAATTTCAGAATCATACCCTTTTCGCATGCCAATGTCTGCACAGCATTCCTGGAAGGAAAAAGGGCATCATATTTCAGCCCTGAAACCCTTATCCTAACTGTCTCCACTTGGAGATAAGGGAAAGCCTTGCATTTTTCTGTCAAAATCAAGGTGGAAAACCACTATGCTCAATCAATGCAATGATTCTAATCTGCTACTTCTGTCGTGCCGTGAATTCAGCAGATGGGGGAAAACAATTTTATTTACCTTTTGTTTTCATCTTGACACCTTTGAATAATTATTGTTGCAAGCAGACCTTTCATGTAAACCATAAAGGTTTCCACTGCATTTGTACCAAAGCAGTGCATGGAGGATTAGGGATTGACACAAGATGTGGTGTGAACATTGGAGAAGCAGGCACATCCTTCAGCAAACACCCCACCTTCAAGTTCTCACGAGCAGGATCAGGGTGACCTGCTCTCAGCCTGCTGAGAACAGAGCTGTCTTTTCCTTGATCCTGCAAACCACAAGACTCCAACTCACCATGTCCGTGGGAAAGTGAGGCTGTGTGCTATTCCTCCCAAAGAGAGGGTCTGCCCAAATTTTGTTACTCTGTGAAACTCAGGATCACAGTGAATGCCTTATCACAGGTTGGATATGTTGTCCATCTGCTCTGAATGATGGGAGAGTTACAAGGTCCTAGTCATAGAGGCTGACCCATTACGTGCCACCTGCTATTTTTAAGTTGAGATGTTAAGGACTGAAACAAGACTTTGTGGACACCGTTTAGTTGCGGCAGCCAAAGAGGAATGTGTAGTCACATTCTTTAGTGCCTTTGAGTGCTCTGCATGCACTACCTGCCGCTTCCTCAGAAGCTGAACCCTTTTCAAGAGGGACACTGGGGCTACTGATGCATCTCTAGTTAACACTGCCTGGCTCTTGTGTCCCTGTGGTTGATTTAGGGCAGTGCAAACAGTTTTAATGCTCTACTGAGAAGATTTGATAGAGATATCAGGGAAGCAACGAGGGCTTCAGGGGTGCTGTCTGAAGCTGTACAAGGTTGATTTTCTTCTGGAGTAAGGGGGATGCTCTGCTAGCTGCACTGAGACTGGAAGCATGACAAAGGAATGGGTTTGCAGATATCATGAGAACAGTTTTAATGTGACACACAAATGAATGGGAGATAGAAAATAAAGCAAATTTGGTAGGCCTTCTCTTGGAGTTCAGTTACAGTACTGGAGAGATAAAAATGGTTGAAAATTGTTAATAGCAACTGAGGTTGAGGGGGGTGGGAGGCCCTGTCAGAACCATTACTTCAGGATTGTTCATCTTCCTGGACCCTAAACTGGCAACACCAGCGCAGCATGCAGTGGAATTCACAAACAGAATTCTGTCTTGGTTAAACGTAGCACTGGGCATTTTCACTGCCATGGTGGGGTTTGCACCAATCTGCTCTGGTATGTATGATTGGCCACCTGTTCATTCACCCACCATGACTCCATAATCCATTCCCTGAGCCCCTACAATGCAGCTGCGACTGAAATGTCCTTTGAAGCAGTGTACAAGTGTTCTCAAGGATCACTGTCTAATCCTTCTGTTAGGTCACCATCTTTGTACAGATAGAATTTTTCTTAGATTCTCACCTGTCCAGCTTTTGCATTTTCACATACAAAAGCCTCATAGAATCTGGAAAATTCTGGAGCATTGTCATTCACATCCAGGACTCTTATTGTAACTGAAACACGGCCAACTTGTGAAGGGTTGTCTGGAAAAAGGAAAAACAAATTAAAATTAGAGCGGTTTACTCCTGGCATAAATTAATTTTGGGATTGTGAATTATGTTAGAGTTTTCTTGTGGAGAATACACTGTCCAGGAAGAGCAGGTGGGCAACCAACCTGTTACCGCATACATGTTGAGCTCTAGAGGTTCTGATTTAATTACTTGTGTGTCATGGAAAACTTGCCAGCATTTTTGATAACAAAAAAAAATTGCACTTACTTATGGAAGTTTGAATCTGGACAGCTGAATATCAATATAATTGTGTTACTTGGATTGATAAAATGATTGTACTTGGCATCACAGTGACTTGGCTGTATTGCATTCAGGAATATGTGAGAAATTCATTCCAGCGCATTTACAACAAGCATTATTGCCGTTATTTATTTAATTAATAGTAAGAAGCAACAGCAGCAGCAACTGCTCCTTCTTTCTGGCTAGTTAACAATTCAAAGAATACAGTAACATACATAGTAAAATGCAAATGTAATTAAAACATCATGTAATTTCACTACAAGCTAAAAAAATGGATTTAAACAGTTTTGAAAGTAAACAACTCAATATAACTAGACTCGCTAGCAAAAGCTGGTGTAAGTGCCCCACTGAAAAGCATTCAATGCTTCTGCATGGAGGGTAGTCTTAACTGGGTGCCTAAACAATAACAAAGTTGGCACCAGGAGGACTTCAGTAAGATCATTCTATAATTCGGGCCCTGCCACTGGGAAGACCCGTTCCCTTGCTGCTGCCACATGAACCCCTGTCAGAGGTGCTGCTGGAAGGATGTCTTCAGATGTTGAGCATGCTGTCCTGGTAGACTGAGGTCAGACAAGGTGCTCCAACATGTCCCATGGTCCCAAACTATGGCAGCCTTTATAGGTTAAGCCAGCACCCTGTATTGGACTTGGAAACATACAGGTAGCCAATGCAAGCAGGCCAGATTTGGTGTCACATGTTTGATCCTGACCATTGGTTTGGGTGCTCCATTCTGCACAAGCTAGACCGCTTGAACAGTCTTCAAGGGCAACACCATGCAGAGGGCATGGCAGTAATCTAATCTGGAGATTAACAGGTCATAGATTAGTGAAACCAAGCTATGTCAGTCCAAAGAGGGGCGTACACTGGGCCACCAGTGGGAATTGGAAGAAGGCACTGTGTGCCGCTGAGGCCATCTGAGCCTCAAGTTGCAAGAACAGCTTGAGGAAGATGCTCAGGATAAAGACCTTTTCTTCAAGGATAGTGCAACTCCATCTAGAACACCTTCCATCCCTTCAGAACCACCCACTAGCCTGATCTTAGTCTTGTCTGGATTGAGCTTCAGTTTTCTAGCCCTCATGCAGTCCATTGTCACAGCCAAACACTGATTGAGCACACCCAAAGCCTCGAGAAATAGAGCTGGGCGTCCTCAGTATACTGATGCCAATGGACTCAAAAAATCTTGATGATCCCACTCATTAGTTTCATGTAGATGTTGAATAGCATGAGGAGCAAGATCCATCTGTGAGGACCCCCATGCTGGAGAATCCATGGGGCTAAGCAATATTCCCCAAGCATCACCTTTTGGAGCCAGACATCTAAGTAGGAGTGAAACCACTGTGATTACCACCCCCCATCCCAACCTATGGAGCTGCCCCAGAAGGAAACCATAGTCAATGGTATCAAGAGCCACTGAGATCCAGAAATATGAACTGGGTCACACTCATCCATCTCTCTCCTGATGTAGGTAGAAGACTACCAAAGCTGTTTTTTGTGCTAAAACCTGACCAGAACCTTGACTAAGCTGGATCTGGACAATCAGTGTCACTCAAGTGTGTCTGGAGCTGGTTGTCCAGCACCTGCTTAAGGACCTTGCCAGGAAAGGACCATTTGCCATCAGCCTAAAGTTGCTAAGATTCCCAGGTCCACAGAGGGCCTCTCGAGGCCAATTTCAGGTGGCATGGAAGCACTCCCTCTTGTAAAGAGGCATTGATCACTTCCCTGGTCAAACATCTTCCCTTCTTGAGAAGTTACCCAATTCATACCTCCTGGACCTGATGTTGGATTCAAACACAATCTGGGCTCAAAATGAGTATAGTTCTGAACTTCTGCTGCACACACCAATATATTTCAAGTATGCATATATTTCAAACATTCACTAACCCTATTTAATCTAAGGAAGAAATGTATACATTTTTAAAAAGCATGCAACTGATATATGCATTTGTAAAAATAGGCATGAAAATACATACCATTTTTGTATGTGAAGATAAAACACAAGGCTTTCAGTCTGGCACAGACAGAGTTAAAACAAGACTTGAAATGGACATCAGAGAATCCTCGGGAGCTTACTTTTTAAGATTCAAACTGTATTTCCAGATCAAATAGTTTAGAAAATGGATACTAATTCTAAAGGACTGTAATGTGGCTTGAGCTAGCTGGTGCCCCAGTGATCACATATGGGCCTGTGGGGTTACAGTGGGGACTGCATGCAGGTGCCCCTCGTGTAATAAGCATCCACTGTGATTTGCCCAAACATGGACCTTTGCAATTGTGCATGTCTCAGTGGCCATTTATGGGAGTACATTCCATATGGAGTGCACCGCCACACGATCTCTGTTGGGTCGCTAGCGCATCACTGGCTTACTGAACTTCCACAACTGGTCAGAAAGGAGTCACAGACTGCCTGAACGAAGCCATGCATGCTTCACGTTCAGATTCCAAATGATTTCAGCACAAAATTCGCTTCATAATGTATCACCATGCCAAATTTTCTTCTCATACTGTGATGATATCACTTATGCTGCATTTAACTAAACATTATTGGAAATGCATAAATAGCTCCACATTTTGCAAGTGTTAACTCTATGTTGCCCTGGGGGTCCTATGTGGACCAAAAGACAACTCAAATTTACACACACACACACACACACACAGAGTAGTCATAGGGATGCTGTTTTTTATGGTAACCCTACATCTGTGCTGTAGAACAGTAGCTTCTCCATGCCCACTTCTCCCACTCTTGCCTATAATTTCTAATGAAACGCACTGGGTTGGCTTGCAGGTCATGGCAAGCAACACTGTATTGTTTCTGCAGTATGCGGCTTTTTGCCTCAACCTACCAGTCAGATGGCTGCCTGGTTCCCATGGTAACATGGTTTCCACATGCCCTGCTCTGTCCTCCCACTCTCAGCATTCATCCCAGCAGCCCCCACGAACAAAATCTTCTTCTGTGCTGCATTATTCCCTATGGACCTCAGCTGCCTCTCCTTGATTTGTCCGCTGAGGTTTTGAGGTATAGCTCCCACTTTCCCCTGGGTATTTTCTGAGCATGCCTGCATCTCTGTAACACTTTCTAGCCAATCCATGCCCACAAGGTTTTTTTTAATTGAACAGTTTTGCTTCAACCCACCTTCTCCTTCCATACATTCACCCACTTGTACCAAATGTACAATACTGAAATGCCATGGCTGGATACTGATGACACAATAGCCCAACAAAAATAAGCATTCATCTGCCTTCTCATGACATAAGAACTGAGCCACTTCGTGATGTGATACCATTATGTTGTGAGTGGGAATGGAGAAACTCACAGCATAATGCTATCATGTCATATAATTGCTAGGTTAGCGTGGGTTGTTGTTGTAGCATGGAATGCTGTTGAAGCATGAATCATCACACTGTTTGAACTCAGCTATGCTAACAAACCATGGTTTATTAAACATGAATAACCCACACTTCACAGCTCAACCACAAATCATGGGCTCATGGCGGGTAAACTATGGCTTGTTGTGCTGCTTGGTTACAATAAGCTGGGTTTCAATAAATCACAGTTCAATAACAACTCACACAAAATCCCTGAGCATGGGTTATCATATTGTTTGAAACCACTCAGTGAGTTTCAGTAGATGTTACTGGAAACGGGATAAGAACTTGCCTCGAAGTATGGATTTTTATGCCTTTTATCTGATTTGCTGTAATATCCAGTTCCATTGAAATAATTTCATAAATGGAATCTTAGTATGCATGGGAGCTGAAGGGTTCTCAAGTAAATGCTACAGTAATCGTAAAGCTACTGTAAACCAAAACTAAGTTTTTATACATATCTGAGACCCTGGAAAGCAGCCTTTTCTGCCCTATATAAGGTTTATTACAAAATTATTTCTACAGGCCTGTAAGAAAAAGTAAAAAAGCGGCGGGGTGAAATCAAGCAGATGGTAATGACAGATACTCACAAGTGGCTCAAGGAGGGTTTGAACCAGTGACCTAGAAGTGAAAGGCCCTGAGCTCATTAGCAATTCCCTGAGCTATCCAATCCTTACTGATAATGCGGGTTTTAACTCTGATAAGCTCTGCAATATTCAGAGCATCTGCTTTTGCTACTAATAGTTCTTGGAGAGAGAGAGAGCGAGAGAGAGCGAGAGAGAGCGTGTTCTAATCTGAACTGCAGTTTGGAAAAAAAAGAGAGAAGAGAAGAGAAGAGAAGAGAAGAGAAGAGAAGAGAAGAGAAGAGAAGAGAAGAGAAGAGACAGTAATTCTCTTGAATGCTAATAATGTGAGTAAACAGAATGTCACAATTCATTTGAAGAACCTCCCCCAGGAGTAGAAAAATTAAATGCTAGTTTCATTCCCTCAATCAGACACAAAATGTGGTTTCTGGTTTCCACTGCAATGCATAGCAATATGCATATCATATGGCAGAAACAGACTTTGCCCTAGCTCCTACTTAATTCCAGTTAATAAATGATTTGAGAGTGGCTTGTAGGATACAGACATTTCATCATGATTAAATATCAGCTCTAGGTTTCTTCTCTAGTGTATCCCATAACTGTGGTTTAGACAGGAGGGCTGAATTTTCCTGAAAGGAAAAGGGCAGGGAGATGGTACCCAAAATCTATAGCCACACCTGCTCTTAACTTAACTCTTATAATGGGTTAACTACTCTTAACCCATTATAAATAATCAAGGGAAGAGATACAGAATAAATAAATTCTGATCAAACTTTTCTTCATTTTGTATTATCTATATAGGTGGAAATATTTGTTATACCTCTGAAATTTTAAGAATCTATTACCTGTATAATTTGTAATATAGGAATAAGGAATATATTTAGCATATTATAGTAAATATATAACAGGTAGGGGTGTTTAGAATATATTGTAATATAATTGAGGTTGGGTATAGGGAATGGAAAGAGAATTCTTCAATTCTTATTTTAATACAAACTGACCTAAATTTGCACTTTCGAAACATTATGTGAACAAAAACTTAGTTGTTCTTTGAAATTTATATTTCTCCAAATTTTGTAATGGAATCCTCCAATTAAACTTAATATGCACAAAAATCTGGATGCTGTGGAAAATAATCAGAAATGCATTGCTAGATAATTGCTTACAAAACATGTGTGGATTAGGTAAACCCACATACAAAATGCATACAAGGACAAAAATGCCTATGAATTTCCCCAGAAACCTATTTTTTCACCCAAAATTGAGTATGAAGTTTGAAGGGAACTGAAGTTCAGAAAAATTGACAGATCAATCAGGAATATGCCTGCATGGTGATGAAAAATCCCTTCAATTTCTATGTTAAAAATCAGTAAAATGTAATTAAAAAGAGGATGTGGGAATAGGCAGCATTAAAACTCCACAGGCCTATGCAGCTGAACAAATCCACCAGCAGTGACCACACTATCCTTTTCGATTTTATCCATATTTTTTGTCTGCCTTACTCAGCTCTATGGCCAGGATGGTGATATTGTGCCATGAAATGTCTTCCCGATCCAGAGGTCTTGCAGTCATTAGAGCACCAGTAGTAATGTCAACATAAAAGAAGCGCCCAGGATCACTGCTTCGGTCAATGGAATATCTGTAAAAATACAAATTTGGAAGGCATTAGCACATAGTGTCAAGCTGTAAAACATTTGAATTCAGATCATCATCATCATCGTCTTAATTATCTGGTTTTGTTCCACCTTAGATACTAAGGTGGTTGAAAATGTGGTTTGATAAGCAGTTCAGCCACTTTAATCCTGAAAAAGTCTTTTAACATTGACTAGTGTAACAAGAATAAAAGAAGACAATTTGAATTAATTTCAAGTGTTATTCTTTTGTCCCTCCTGGCAAAAGCATAATGCTGTGTTGCACTTATTCTTGGAATTTTGTGTATAGTACTGACTACTCCAATATTCTATGATTCTATGAAACAAAACAAACTGGTGCTCTCCAGATGTTTTTGACATTCCTAACTATCAGCCATACTGGCTGGTCCTGATGGGAAGTGAAGTTCCAAACATCTGGAAGGCACCAGATTTGGAAGGTGGAATTCCACCCTTGTGTTCTGGGCTTCTGCTACTTTGATCATACTGGAAACTAACTGTTGGACTTGATAGTCCTTGGAATTATGGAAGACTACTGTTTTCTGGTTTTCAATTTCATTGAGATGAAAAAAGACTCTAGGCAAGGACAATATGTTTGTGAATACTTGCAAACCTATTGCTTTTTGGAGTTCTTACATACTGCAGTGTAGCTCAAGGTCACAATATGATCTAGCCAGAACTTTCTGGTTGGAAAATCAACCTTATTCCATTTACCATTTGTAATGCAAGGGCACAATCAGATAAGTTAGTAATTTTCAGATTTTATTCATTTGTAAAGGCATGCATATACTTTCTCCCATTGGATCTGAGTGGGACAGAAAACTGCATAAAAACTGCATTAGCTGAACTGCGTCCAAAATCTCCTGAAATTCTTTTGAAATCCATAGCTTAATTAGCTGGCCTACTTTGTTTTCATATTTAAAAAGTGGTTGATGCCAAGTCAGAAGAAATTCAGTCCTAGAAGCCACCTCTTCAGTCTTTTCATGCCTTCTCTAGAAGTTTCTTTCAAAATATATTCTTTTGTTGGTCTGTCTGTCTAGGACAGGAGGAGAGAAGGGTCCTTTCTCATGTCTCAAAAGCCACTTATTTTGAACAAGACAAGGTGTGTGCATGCGTTTAGCATTAAAAATTTAGCTTCAGTTCCATTTGATTGCAACTGAAATATTTTAGATTTGGCTTCAATTCCAGATCACTGAAAAACAAGTTCCCTGAATGAATGAGTTTTGAAACTTGGATTCTGGCTCAGTCTGACTCCTTAATTACATGGCATCTTTTTGCAGGAGCATTCCAAGCAAGAGAAACATTGCTGCCAGCAAAGTACCTCATTTACTCTGTACATCGGAAGCTGTCATATAAAAGATAATTGTATCCCCTCTAGGCCTGATGCTATTTAGTTCAATTCATCCAGGGCTGGATAGCTTTAACTATCGGTAGTTAAAATAGGTTCATATTGTTAATAGGCTGGAGCATACAAGATCCAAGGGCTGCATCTTTTCAGAAGGTCTTTGTGGCAGCATGCAATTAGGAATTAACATGCCCCCATCAAGCCTTCAAAATGACCCCACTGACGTAGCTGGAAAACTCCCAATGATCTTAATGTCTTGGGGTCAGGGAGTGACTAGTACCATGACACATGTCCTTATTTATGAAAGTAGACAACTGTTTATTTGAGCCAAATGATATTATGTCCAATACCAATATTTACAGTAATCCCAGGGCAAAGCTTTAAATCCATCAAATGTTGCCGACTTTGGCAAAGATGTTGTATAACATAGGGCTACAAGAGTGAAGACAAATTGATTGGCCCAGCATTCTGCCCAAGAACTCATAGCGGCATTAAAATAGCTTAAATCTCGAAAGCTCAGTTTAGCAAGGATCTGCATTAAAGTGCAACTAAATTTGTACTGTTTATTATATCCAGAGGCCTTTGGTTTGGTCCAATGTGTCTCCTGACCTATGATGTTCTTGTAGCATCAGAATTACAATATGATTTATGCACAGGTCTAACACATTTTGGGACCAGGCCATGTTAGATCATGCCCCTATCATGAAAGGACAATTCCCTAGGGAGTACGCGCATTTGCAACTTCTCGGGCTCTGCTGTTCACATATCAGCTGGTTTCAGACAACATGATAACCCACACTCAAGGCTGTTAAAATGCAGTTAAAGGAGTTCTACCATTTGAGGATTAGTATGAACACATATGAAAAGTTTTCTAGGTATCTGAAAATGCACTATACAAAGTGCTAAACATATGAGCTGAGAACCTCTTGTTTCCATCTAAGCTCTATTATGAACTCAGTAGGTAGCTTAAAGGATACTACCAAATTTGCCTCTAGTTGGTTAAGACAGCCAGTGTGGCCAATGGCCAAGAAGTATGGGAAGTATAAGGATAGTACCAGGTTGCCTTCCTCTGGGTTATTTGCTGGCTACTGTTAGTGTTGCTGTTTATTTATAAGACTGACACCTGTCCCAGATTTTAATAGAAATATGAAGGACAAAGTTGGTCTGATTTTGGCCCAGTATTCCAGAATGTCCAATGAGCCTTCTTTAATTTAAAGTTAGTTTAACATATTTAACCCTGGGCCCAGTGACTACTCCGAAGTTTGTGAAGTACACAAACCATATACAGGGACAGAAGGCTGAGATTTCCACTATGAACCAAAGACTAACTAGTGATAGAAATAGATATTTATTTAGTTATTTATATTTACATGTAAATTTCACTGACAGTCAATGTAGTATGGTGGTTACAATGCGGGTGCAGTGTGTTACAGGGGCTTCTAGTCCCTGGTTGACCATGAAGTGCACTGGGTGACTTTGGGCCAATCAAAGATTCTCAGCCCAACTTGCCTCACTGAATTGCTGTTGTGAGGATAAAATGGAGCTAGGTAAGCCACCTTGGGTCCTTCACAAGAGGAAAAAGGCCAGGAAATAAATGCAATGCAGTGTAATATAATAATAATACTTATATAGACTGATTTATAATCTCAGAGAGATTCGATATTGAACTGTTATGAAAAATTGGTAAGAACTACTTAGGAATTACACATGATTGTAAGGATGTCATGAAAAGGGCAAGGAGATGATTGTAAGAATAAGTTGGAAACCTGTTAGGATGATAGTGCAGTGAGAACTGATGGGCTTTCAGGTTAGGGAGAGAAGCAAATTGCTTTTGCATCCTGGTTTAAGCCTCCTTAATTTGAGCAAAAACATTCACTGTCCTTTTAATGCTTTGCTTTTAATACTGAGGCTCATACCTCGAAAAAACTGTTTGAAATCAATGGTGCTTAAGTTAGTCATGTTAAGGCACAAACCAGCTAGGGAATACTAGAAGATGTCTGCTCTGTAACATAATTACCCAAAGCCCCACTGATTTCAAATAGTCTTCTCTAAATATTACCATATCTGTATCCAGCTGTTATGTTGGGACTTAGAAGGAATGGAGTAAAACCAGTAAAAATCATGGGGTTCCTCATAAGAATGAATATATCTATGTATCATTTTTAATTAAATAACTTACAGGAATTCTCTGAACACACAGTCATAAATGAAGTTGGTATAATTAACCTTGCAATTTAACACAATCCTTCTTGATTAGGGAAAAGCACTAAAGAGTTAACCCAGCTTCATGGGCTTTCTTGTCAATAATGTCTGAGTTCTGAGGACTATGAAAGTCTCTGGTCAAGAGGGGAAGGAGATCCAAGCAGTAATATGGGAACCATAACGCTGGCTCATGTTGTGAAGCTGATATCAAATTTATTGGGAAAACCTGTGAGAAGGTTGAATAAGTGTTACATAAACAATTACTCAGGAGAATCACATGGCAAGGAAAACTCAAGGTACACAGCATTGTAAAACAGTTTGCAGGAAAAGGTAGCTGTATTTTGCATAAGAAATAAGGAGAACCCATTATCATTGTCTTCTGTCTCCCTTTTAAAACAAAGATGTTTCCTGGGGTGCTAAATTTATTAAGGAAATCCACACAGCAGCTTTGCAAGATTGTGAAATAATGATCTTTTTTTGCAAGGGCCTATTTTTTTTAAGTCTCCCCTGACAGTTTAAGGCTAACTTGTATCTGAAACTGAATATGGCCTTGTGATTAGTGGTGCAGCATTAATCACTGGTGTCATGTCATCCAGGTGGAGGCTTGTATTGCATCCTCTGTACATGTTTCTCTATTGTTAATAACTGATTCTCAACAGGAATTGAGTTCATTGAACTGTTTACATAATCTCCCTTAGTCATTCTAAATTAATCAAGCTTGCATTCAGCAATCAGCATCTCCCAACGTGGGCAAATCCAGATGTCAAAAAAGCTAGAAATAAGAGGATTTGAACTTTCAGTGGGCACTTTGGAAACACATTTGGCTTTCTAAAATTTCATTGACAAACATCTGACTGCCACTTCAGATCAAAACCGATCAGTAGAATCAAAAAGCATCTCATAGTGGAATTTTGATTGTTATTATAAGGCCCGATGTACACAGCCAAATAGCATCAGTTATAAATTAAGCTCCACCAAGGTTATACAGCTGTGCAAACACACTAATCTTGCAAAGATCTGTTAAGGCTAAGTAAGTTAATGAGACCATTGGTAACAATACAGTCTTAAGTAGCCAAGGTGGCCCATTTATACTTTTTAAGCCGCTCTAGGGCAATGCTTTTATTACAGGTGTGTGGAATATGTTTTTAAAAATTGCTATTAAATGTCCAGATTCCACCTGATACTCTATCAGGGTCTATATGATGGCAATGGGTGGGGCCATTCATTTTCTCCCTTTATTGCCAGATAGGATTCTTAAGATTTTATCATGTTATTCATATCTTAGTACTTATTCATTCTTTTTAATGCAAATATGTATATATGGTGTATTTTACCCTGTGATTTATTTTATGTTATATTGTCTTATTGTTAAACCGTCCCAAGACCATGGTAAGAAACGGTCCAGAAAAGTTTTAAATAAATATGTTACAAGGTGTGGTTACAGCAATATATTTTTACTATTACTGCTAAGCTCTTCTTTTTCTTTCTGAAACCACTTTACTTACTGTGTCTTTCTGCCACCACCATTCTATCTCTCAGACTGACTTCATAAACCATAATAATTCACACTCAGGGGCTGAGCATGGGTTGTTAACTAAACAAGGGCTAATGTGTTGTTTGAACTCAGCCAAGATAACAAATCATGGTACAAACTCACATTATCACAACTGATTCATAAACTATGGATTCTTCTGATGGGTTGCTCATGGTTAAAAGCCATGGCTTGTTAACAGAGGTGAGTACAGACAAACCATTTGTTTATTTATTTATTTAAAACATTTTTTATGCCGCCCCCATCACAACAAAGCCTCGGGGAGGCTCACCATAACCATAAACACCCCATAGTTCAGTGACAATCCACATTCAACCCTTCTCTCTTCTTCCTGTTTGTCCCAGGAGGCTGGTGAACTTCTTGCTTGCAGAGGACTTTTTGAAATTAGACTGAGGACTGTCCCTGCAGTCATAGGTCTACAAATCACCTATGTTAGCAGTATTAGGAGCAACCGCAATGCAACCAAGTTGTAAGCAAGCATTTGAGTGCTTCAGAGCTATGTTAATAAGCTTCTTATTCTTAGGGGCTTTAACATTATGCCATGCTAGCTTCATCTCAGCACATATGCAGAAGCACTGAGCTTCACCCCCTGACATCTTCAAGTTGGCTTGGAAAAGACCATGGTCTAAAACTCTGGAGATCAGCTACCAGTTAACTGTAGATGATACTGCACAGGATTAACCAATGGTCTCACACGGTACAAGGCAATGCAACTCCACACATTTCAACATTCAGCTTGAAAAGGAGTTCTGGAGAACTTGCGCATGACTTTGTGACAATTTGGTTGGTCTTAATAAAGGCTTTTCTCCTCTAATAATAATATAGTCATTACCTCAGAAGATACTAATGCTAACACATTTCTAACCATACAAATATGGTTGTACTTGTATGGTTAGCTTAAGTTTCTTAAACTTTAAGAAAAGTTTAGCTTATTTATGTGACGAGTGAGAAAGAAGTTAAGAGCCTGAAGGAGGTTGTTGGTACCCATATGTATATAGATAATTGGGCTTTTATGTTGGCTGTTTAAACACACACCAGGGAGATATTATATGAAGGAAATTTTGATTACATGAGAGTGCAAGCCAGTACATGTTTAGACAGAAAGATGTTTAAACTGGAAAAGCCATATATCTCCCAGCATACCCAGCCAGCCATGGAAATGTAGGGCTTTTCACTCTGAAAGAAGCATCCTAAATCACCCTTCCTCCAACATGGCGCCCTTTCAGTGTTTTTGACATCAGCCCTAGTCAGCATGGTTCATACTTCAGGATGATGAGATCTGTGCCTCCAAATACCTGGAGGGTGCCAGGTTGAGCGAGAATAATTTTCCCTCATCACTGGAACTGATTTGCAACCACCCCACTGACAAAAACTGTGACACCAGTGCTAAGTGGGTGGAAGATAATATCTGGATGCATTAGAGGTCCAGGTGTTCACTAAGGACAGGTGGACAAATACTTTAATTACAACAAACATGCCCAAAGACTCTACAATTCACTATCATTTGAGGATTATTTGGATTTGACATTCTGAAACTTTACTACTAGTCCAAAGAAAACGATCCTGGCAGGTAACATAGCAAATATGAGAATGGTGAAGAAAACCTGATTGAGTTGTTGGTCACATCAGGGTCCTTGGCATAAATCATTTGTATGGTGGTCCCAATGTCCACATCTTCAGGTACCTCCACAAAATAAAAGCTAGGCTCAAACAGGGGCGGCTCATCCACATCTTCCACACTGATATGCACGGTCGTAGTGTCGCGGAACGGGCCTAGGTTCAGGAAGCGCATCTCCAAGTGTGGATTGGCACCTTCTACTTTTAAAGTGTAGCTTTTCTTACTTTCAAAGCTCAATGGCTGGAGGAGGAGGAAGAGGAGAAGAAACAAACCATTTTTCAAGCTGGAAGGAACATTTTGAGTCATATTATCCAATTCAGTTAAAACAAAGCATTTCCCCATGTCCTTCTGTACATCTGCATTGTATAAATAGCAGGATAAATAGAGCATCTCTGCAATTTTAGTACTTCTAGCTGATTGGCAGCACTGAAAGTCCTGCAACTACCAACCATCTATAATTTGGTGGTGGTAGGCAGTGGGAAATGGTTGTGTGAAAATTCACAGGCTATATCATTCCAATCCATACATATGGAAATATTTGCACACAGTTATTCTAGAACATAGACAGGAATGGATACTTGGGTGTGCAGTTCACACCCAATATCTGTATGTGATGGAGTGTAGTATGTATAAACATTATCTTTATGATGCGTATTTGGATAGGTGTTCAATTTCTGATTGAGCAAGTTTTATGCATGTAGATGTCTGCACACATGAATGGATCTCCTTAGCTGGATTTGCCTGTACATAAACACCATGTATACTTTGCATTTCTGTTCAGGAATTTATGGACAGGCAAAAAATAACCAGTTGCTTTGGTGGCCACTTTATTATTGCCAAAAAGGAGGAGAAAATGCATCACTAAACAAGAACAACAACAAGAAAAGAATAGCTCTTCAAATGGAAAACAACTTCAGATAAAGTCCTCTGAAATGTAGGACTCATGGTCACTCTACCAGCTACAAGAACACCTCAACACCTCTCATGAAAAATACGAATCTTGGTGAAATACGGTAGTGAGTAGTAGCATGAGTGGGAAGTTCCAATCTCGCTGTAGCCATGACCTCTCTCGGTGGCCCAGGTAAGTTGCCATATCTTATCTTCATCTTCTGCCCATAATGCAGCAATAATGAAGTAGACATTTTACAAGCAGGCCACCACAACGAGTGATTACCATTCACAGATCACGTGTAGGTATACATTCATCTAAGCCTGTGCTTCTGGGGGCTGACCACCAATCCAAAGATAGGACCTTCTGCTCTAACTTGGTGAATTCTTTTGGGTTGTTTGACCATTTAAAGTGCAACTTTCCTACCTGCAGATCACTGGGACATGGAGCCTCTGAAGGCAACTTAGTGCTCGACTGGTCCTTGGAGGAAGTCTGAGGCTGTAATTTTGGGAGATTGACTCTGCTGTGATGTGAGAAGTATGAGAGGAATCCAGTCAGCCTCAGCACAGCCCTCTGAACTGCAAGAGGCTATGCAGTAGTGAATGATGTGCTGGTTATTCTCCCCTTCTTCAACTGATAGTGCCACAGAAATGTTGGTAGCAACTCTCTCAGCAGCCCAGACTGCAACAGGGGGACCAAAAGCTCTGGACAACACTAGAGGGTTATTGTAAACTTACCAGTCAGAGCCTGTATTCAGTGGGAATTGAACTGCTGGGCTGTGATAATCCCTCTTGCCCAGCTGTAGCCTCTTTCAACTATAGTATGGGAACAATGCATTGCATTTGCGGGATTATTTTTATATATTCCACAAGAACTGAGTTAGAAAGAAAGGGATTTTTCTGTTGCTTTCTTGGGTGGGTGGTGGCTTGGGGGAAGATGCCCAGTCCCAGCCATAATAAAGTTGTGGATTTCTTTTATGATTTAGAAACATAGAAACAGAGCAAGTCAGAAGGGGCCTCCCGGGCCATCTAGTCTGAACTCCGGCACCAGCTGGCTCCACTCACGACATGCCCACCATGTGGACGTCCAGCCTACCTTTGAACACCCGCACCGATGGGGCCTCAATGACCTCTTGTGGAAGCCCATTCCACACCCTCGGGGTCCTAACTGTCAGGAAGTGCTTCCTGGCATTCAAATGGAACCTTGGCTCCCTGAGCATTTCTATAAGCATCTCTCATGTTCATCCTTGGAGATATCTAGGACAATTTTTGTGTGGATTAGCAGATTACCTAGCATGACAATGAGATGGTTCTGCCTATTTCTTTCAGTATTGCCATGTCTCTTTCTTCATTCTCTTTTGCTCATTTCTTCTGGAGAAGGAGGAGAGAGAAGAAAAATGATAAAGAGGATAATGGAGAGGTGTAACTTCCACTTTATCCTCCTTATCGATCTCTGCTTCTTGCCTCCTTTCCTATCTACTGTTGTGGACACAGCATCCTTTCCACCAGCTATGTCCATTTTTCCGCTCTTCTGGTTTTCTTTTCCAATGGATGTAATGTTCTTCTGTGACACTGAAGCAGCTCATCCATCATTGGGGTTCTTTTGGACTATTAACTCCACCCACTCCTCAGGACTTTTTATATTCTTTTGAAAATTTTCGGGTTCCCTCAAGCCAGCTGATACTTCCCTTTTGTATGCAGATGATGCTCATTTGGCTAGACAAGGGCTGGCCCTGGGGGGAATATGGGCTCAGCATTAGTAGGAGTGAGTATTAGCAGTAGTATGTGAAGCACTTTAAGCATATAGCAAAAATGATAAATAGATGACATTATATTGTAATAGCTATAATCCAGCCATGGTTAAACACTGTTAATCCTGTTGATTTCAGTGTGAGATAGTTAAACACATGGTTAAGTATTATGCTGAAATCAGTGAGACTCAAATATGCTCTGCTTTGGCTGTTTTATAAGCACTTTATAAACTTTAGAGGGGGCTTTTATCACACAGCAAATCTGAGCCTTAAAAGTACCATGCTCCCTTTTGCAGAAGAAATTCTGTTCCATGCTGAGTTTTCATGCCCTTTTTCTGGTTACGTTTTACACAGAATGGAAGTCAGTGCACATAATTGTACTGCAGCGATGCTTAATGTGTGTCTTTTATGTGTAACAATAAAATGATAATTGAAAAGAAAGTTAGTGACAACAGCAAAGCGAGGTCTAGGAATGACCAAAGAAACTTCATAAAAGTAGATATGGAAATGGTTGCAAGAGTCTTATAGAACATTATGAGGCCTCCTGCTGATCATTTAATTTCCAAGAATGCAACGGTTATATGCTTTTTACTTTTACATAATGGGTAGTTTAGTGCTGAATATTAGCAAAATGCAATCTTTGTAATGGGCACAGACCTTGATCAGAGAAAAATGTGAGCTTCTTTAAGCAGTTTGAGAGGCAAATGTGTTGGATGTGGCTCACTTTCATTTTCTGAACTGGATTTTCTAACACAAGTTTATGGTTTATATTCACTTTCATGTTTATCATACACTTTCTTGAGTAAGGCCAATGCTGCACAGAGCAGCGGGTCAGCCTGTTTCCACAATCAGGGTTGCCTCTTGCAGCTGCTGTGTGTTCAGGATTTGCTAGCCACCTCCACTAGGGATCATCCAGTCATTTTTCCTTGACATATACTTCTGATACACATGTTTGCAAGTGTACATTTGTATCAGGTATGCTTTATACGTATCTTACATCCCGACTGAAAATGCAGTGGCTCTGATTTACGTAGTTAGTTGGGACGAAAAAGCTGAAGCTCATGGAAGACATTTTGTTTTCATGCAACTTGGGCTGTCCTATACTCATTGTTCTGTGAGTAAACCTCATTAAACTGAAAGGGGCTTATTATTGAGAAGGACTGTGCTATTAGTCACAAAGAACTTCACCTGTATCCAAGACCACCTGCTGCCCGGGGTAGAAGGTCATGACACTCCTCTGTTGTGTTCCTCCATGCCATCCTACTGGCTGTCACAGCAGAGACTTAAAAATCCTTAACTTTGGGTTGTTCATTTTAGTTTCTAACCTAGTTTAGCATCCTAAGTTTGTTCCCCAGGCTGAGCCTTGTCGTGGATTAAAACAAACAAGCCAACAAAGCACCATGTTGCTGAAAGGTATTTTACCAGGTGTTCAATTTCATATGAGAGAGAGAGAGAGAGAGAGAGAGAGAGACTGACTGCGTGCACACATGAGCTGCATATGTTAACTAGTTCATAGCAAGGAAGTAAACCAAAATGTCAACCCATTAAACAGCTTTGAAGATGTGTAAGAAAGGACTAACAAACTTAAGAAATGCTATTTGTGTAAGCAGCACAGGGTAGGAACAGTTCTCAGCTTAAAGAAAACAACCATCTCTTGGCTTTATCAGCACTTGAGGATCTTCAGGTCGCAACTGTTGGATTTTACAACTTTTTGCAGGTTTACTGTTAACTGCATGGTTCATTTATGATTGTTTCTTGGCTACTTGAATAAAAATGTGGATACAGTCGATAGGCAGACACTCAACAAACCAGTCACCTGCAAAAGTTAGTCTGATAACTTTGAGGAGGGGTTAATGATACAATTCCCTTTGAGGGTAGTTTCATGCGCGCGCGCACGTGCACACACACACACACACACACAGAGTTAAATCCTGAAGTGCCTAATCTTGGAAGCTAAGCAGGGTTGGCCGGGTTGAAATCTGGATAGGTGACTTGAGACCTGCATCGAGCAGGGGCTTGGACCTGATAGTCTGTTAGGCTCCTTCCAACTGTATGATTCAATGATCCTTTCTAATGCACATGTGTTATGCAAAATGGCTTGTACCAATTCAAATTGCAATATAAAAATATAAGAGTATCAAAAGAATAAAATTACAATGTAACAAGTATAAATTTGAAGTATAACAACAATATTGGCATTAAAGAGGACAGGAACAGCAGCTACACACAACCTTCCCTTGAGAACAATTCAGCCTGATAAATTAAAATTCTGCTGAAATAAGCAAGGGAAGTCTTGGAAGCTGACAAAAGGCAATAAAAAATGACGACCCAACACATAACAGCGACCCATAACACTGAAGAGGGTTATAAGAACAAAGGAACATAAGAAAATAAGAAAACCGATGCTGGATCTGATAAAAGGTCCATCTAATCCAGCACTCCATTCACATGCCCACAGGCATCCTGATCAAGCAGGATGGGTGCAAGGCCTTTGCCTGTCCAAGCCCCTCAGCAGCTGGTGTATTCAGGCAGGCCACCTCCTATCAAGAAGTTAGCAAAGCACATAGCCAGCAAGGCTAGCAGCCACTGAGAGTCTCCTCTCTCATGAATCTCTCCAATCCCTTTTTAAAGTCACCCAGGTTAGTGTCCATCACTACCTCCCGTGGCAGCAAATTCCATGGTTTAACTATACACTGTGTGATGAATCATTTCTTTTAACCTGTTCTAAACTTCCCACCAATCAGCTTTGTGGGATGGCCCTGGGTTCAAGTGTTATGGGAGAGGGAGGAAAATGTCTCCTCTACTTTCAACACACCATGCAATATTTTAAGCACCTCTATTAAGTCTCTGCTTAATCGCCTTTTTTTCTAAGCCAAGCAGTCCCAGTTATCATAGCTGCACCTCATATAGGAGCTGCTTCAGGCCCCTGATCATTTTTGTTGCCCTTCTCTGAACTTTTTGCAACTCAATAGTGTCCTTTTTCTGGTAAGGTGACCAGAACTGAACACAATATTCCAAATATGGCCACACAAAAGATCTGTATGAGAGAAGTAAGATTTTGGCAGTTCTGTTTTCTATTATGTTCCTAATTAAGCCTAGCACGGAGTTTGCCTTCTTCACAGAAGTTGGGCACTAGGCTGACATTTTCATTGAGCTGTCCACCACCACCCCAAGATCCCTTTCTTGCTGGTAGTTCAGATCCTATCAGTGTATAGCTGAAGTTGGGATTTTTTGCCCAAACATGCACTGCTCTTCACTTGTTATACTGAACTGCATTTGCCAAGCTGATGGCCATTATCCAACCTGGATAAATACTTTTGGAGGTCCTACCATTATTCCCACCCTCTGCCTTCTGTTCTTTAACCAGTTAGTGATCCATAAAGGGACCTCCCCCAGTGTTATTCCTTGACTACTTAATTTGCTCAGGAGCCTTTGGTGAGGGACTTTGGCAAAAGCTGTTTGGAAGTCCAAGAAAACAATGTCTACTGGATTGCCCTGGTCTATGTGCTTATGGACACTCTCAAAGAACTTCAATAGGTTAGCGAGGTAAGATTTCCTCTTGTGGAAGCCATGTTGATTTTTTTCCAGCACAGCTTGTCCCTCCTTATGCTACTGATTCTATCTTTAATAGTGCTTTCAAGCAAAACTCCCAGATGTTAAGCTGATTGGCCTGTAATTTCCAGGTTACCCCTGGATGCATTTTTAAAAATTGGCGTTACATTGGCCATTCTCCAGTCCTCTGTGCAAGGGCTAATTTTAGGAACATGTTAAATATTTTGGCAAGAAGGTCAGTGATTTCATGCTTGAGTACTTTGAGGACTCTAGGATGGATGCTACCTTGACTGGGTGACTTGTTGACTTTCATTTTGTCAATAAGGTTGAGTTACAGGTTCCAAAAACCAACTGACAGTGGTCTCAGCCATAACATCTGCAGTGCAATAGCCTCCCTAGCAAGGTCCACAGATTCTGAAAGCTGTTTGGTGTTCAAGGGAAAGGGAAAAATTTCTCTTCTGGGCAGTGCTTTTACAGCCCAATCCTGTGGATCCTGAGAGAGTGTGGATTTTCCCTCCCTGGGCTATAGACAAACTACAACCTTCTGGAGGAAGAAAAATATATTTGTGAATTTTTTCACCCCTACAGAATGCTCTATCCAGCAATTGCTATGAACAGTATAAATGATACTTTGCTGAGGGTTATAAACTTATTACCTTTCTCACTGTGATGATGCCAACTTGGTAATTAGGATCAGTGGTAATATCAAATACATCCAATCCATCTCCATCCACAAAACTATATTTCATTTCAGCGTTAATGCCTTCATCCAAGTCTTTAGCAAAAACACGGCCCACAGTCGAGCTGATGGGAGCAGACTCTAATACGGTCATCTGATAATGTTCTGGGGAAAAGACATTAATTATGAAAGAGAAAAAAATGAGTGTAGCAACAAATAACAAAGGCACAATCCAGCAAAGTTTAACTAATTTCAAGTTTCTCATTGATTTTAATGAGCAGGTAAATCAACAGTGCTTACATTTAGTCAGATGGTGACTTAAATAGATAAACAGAAGGGGAAAGACTTACAGAAGTGAAATGCACTGGCTACTGTCAAGAAGCCTATAGAGAATTCGATCTGAAAGTTCCTTCTGCTGGACTGAGAAAACATACAGTCAATTCCAGTGGAGAAAGCCCAAACAAATTTAAATCTCCCTTGCTATGATTCAAGAAGCTTTCCAGCATATCAGGAGCTTATTTAAATGGTTCTCATCAAAGCATCTATGCCTCCTGTGGCAACTTGAACTGAGAGCAAAACTTATGCATAACTGATTTGTTCTAATGGCAGGCCTGGGGAAAGACAAATCTACGGTGTTAAAAGTCCCCCTCAGCCCTTATGAATACACTGTTGTTTGAACGGATTCCTTTTACTAATGCATTTTGCTATATGATTTTTTTTTAACTTAAGAGCTTCACTATTTATTGTCTTTGGACTTTGAGAATGATATGATTTATTACCACAGGATCTTGGACTAGAAAAGAACACAGGAAAATGCCCATGTATAATTATTACACTGGAAAAAAAATCATAAGTTGGAATAGATGAGCAGTATTTTATTTTAAAATGTAGGAAATTTAGGCTTGGAGCTGATGTCCACTGGAAATCATAAAGCTTCCCAGGAGAACCACCTAAGCATTAATCCTCTAAGAACCATGCAGGTATTAGTCCTCTAACCATAAGCTCTGGTACATCACTGAAACAAGTCAAATAGTTCATAACATTTCCTTATCAAGCCTGATAAAGCGAGTTCAACTCTCAGAAGCTGATGCCACAGGTGGCTGCGGCATGATTCTGTGGTGGAACAAGGGTTACATCCAAAGCCCTCCTGGCTTGCTTAATTCAGGACAATAAATGAGCTGTGGATTTTAATTTTTTCCCTGTTCTGTTTCCTCCAATCAGCAAACATCAACTGCATTAACTACATCATCTTCTGAGCTGGCAAAATTTGGGGTCCAATGTGGGAGTGTACTGCTTTGGCTGCAGTGAATTCACAGTCTCACTTGCTACTCCCCCTAAATCCCTTAAAATGCCATATTTTATTCCCCTGCTACCGGCAGGTCACTGATTAAGCTTTTCACCACTGCATGATCACAGGGATGAGAGCTGTTTTTCCAGCTGTATTTTTATTCAATTATTTATTAAATTTATAAATACAGCTGTTTTTCCAGCTGTATTTTATTCAATTATTTATTAAATTTGTATTCTACCCTTTTTTTCTTTTCAAGGCACTCAAGGCAGCTTATATAAGTCTCCTCCTCCCCCTCCTCCCAGTCTTATCCTCACAACAACAATCCTCTCAATCTTATGCTTGTTAAATCACTATTATAGATTTGTCATTTATATATTAATGATGGTTTTTAATGTTTTGTTGTGCATTTCTAATTTTCTGCTTGTTGTATGCTGCCCAGAGAGTCTTTTTGGACTATTGGTGGCTTAGAAATGCAAAATAAATAAATAAACCAAGACTGTGAGGCAGGTTGTGCTGAGAGTCTGGCCAAGAGTTACCTGATTAGCTCCATGGCTAAGGGAGAACTAAACGCCAGATCTTCTGAGTCCCAGTCTTGCACTCTTAACCACTGTGCCACTCTGGCTCTATCTGGTGCTTGGGCTAGAATTTCTGTTGTTATATAGACAGATTGTAAAACCACCATATTTATTATTTCTTGCATTAGTACTTACATTATAGTTCTATCCCACCTCTTTTTCTCTTGCAAGAAACCGAAGAAGGCTTATATGTTCTTCTTCCCTTTCTCCATTTCCACCTCACAAAAGCCCTGTGAGGCTGGTTAGACTGAGAGTCCAAACCTGGCTCAAAGTTGCCCAGTGAGCTCTGTGGCAAGCGGGATCCCCTAAGTCCCAGTACACCACTCCAATCACTATACCGCACAGGCTCTGAACAATATATGTGCATTATTTATAATTTAATATAGAGAAAGGTTTTTTATACACAGATTTGTCACTTCTTCACTTGAGTAGTATCTAAGGAAACTGCACATTAAGGCCAATACCGTCTGTGAGGAAAGGTGAGTAGGGGAATAAGGGGCCCGGGTGAGCCCTGCCTTGCAATCAGCTGAGGAGCTGGGCACAGCTGATACTTACTCTGTGGGAACCTGGGTGGATTGTCATTGACATCTGAGAGCGTGATATTGACGGTAGTAGTTCCGGCTAATCCTCCCAGCTGTCCACCCATATCTTTGGCCTGGATAATCACTTCATAATATTCTTTTGCTTCTCTATCCATGTTCATGAGCGCTGTCCTAATTAAGCCTATGAAAGCATGGGGGGAAGCAAAAAGAGATCACTGAATAATAAAAATTATTAGTGCAATAATGCGCCACTAGGTAATAAATGTACTAACATTTGTTTCGAAAATGCTTCCTTTTCAAAATGAAAAACAAGATTTCTTGGCAACCTCCAGGAAAGGTCTGCCCCTTTACAGAATAAAGACAGGCTGTGCTCTCAGATCGTCATGGCTTAGATGCCAGAGCTGACCTCCATTGACGTCATTCTTGATTCATAGAAGAAATTGCTGTGAATGATACACTCACGAGTTAGTGATATAAGAACCTGGCCTCAGTACTTTCTCTTGCTTTTTACCGAGTTCATTCTTTTCTCATATATTTGTATAGTAAACCTGGGTAATTTGAATTAGCTGGGGGGCAATTTTAGGTTGAGCAAGAAGTGCTTGGTTCTGGAAGCTGTTTCAGATTTCTAATAGGGAATGCAAAAGAAAACATTTGGCAGAAGCTACTATTTCTGATATTTTAAGTTATCCTGCACTATAATATCTAAAGAAAGGCTTGGAGATTGTGATACTATCCAAATGTATTTAAAAATAACTATGAATTAATCAATTAATTGGCTAAAAGGCATTTCTTTAATCAGTAAGACTCATTTAATAGGTGGGCACTGAGCAGTCCCACTAATTACCTTTCTGTAATTCTGTTAACATTAGGTGAATATTGTGCTCTTGATGAAAAAAGCGTATCTTTTTTGTTGTTGTTGCAAGCATGCTACAGAACATTATTTCTAATCCATGAAAAAGTGCAAATGTATAGATGCAAATGCTGCTATGCATTTAAACCATAGTGCATAGAAAGCAAAGCAAAGATTCAGATTTTCATTGTCCTGCTTCAAGAGCTGCCTGTGCTGCTTCAGTGCGGATCACGGTGTGCCATTATACCCAATGCAAGCAGCAACAGACATAGGAGCATAAAAAGGCCCCACTGGCCTATTTAGTCCTGCGTTTTGTTCCGCAGTAGCGATGGTGCGACTGATAAACAGAGGAATGTTGCCTTAAATACTGGAGGTCAAAATATCCCTTGTGACATTCCATGTACAACAGTGATGGGATCCGCATTAAAAAAAAACTGCATAGCTGCTCTTGCGGCTAAGTGAGGCTGGGGATAGTCAGTGAAAAAGAGGCAGGGTTCCCACACCCAGGGCCACCAAAATAAGTTCTCCTTTCTGAGTGCTCTGTTCTGTTGAAACAGAACATGAGGTGGCAGCATGGTTTTTCTAAGAAAGCCTGTTGACAGTTTGCACGTACCGTTACGACTTCTGCTGAATGCTATTGCACACTGTTGAACAACTTAGACTTCTAGGTCTAAACCTGTCTGGACTTTCAGGTAATACTTTATTAGCTCACTTTCTGCCTGCTGCTTCAAGGACTCTGGCTGAGCAGACGATCTGTTTACTTTTATTCTCAGTTTGGCTTCCAATCACCTTCTCTCTCTTTCTTTCCCTCTCCCTCTCTGGGTTTTTATTCCACTATGTCCAAAAAAACTACAAAACAAAGGACACCAAGCATAAGGCAGGGTGCTTGGATATTTGCACAAAATCTGTGGATGTGGTGAAACAGCTGCTGAGTGTCAGCATATGCGCCACCATCACTGCATATAAATAGTAAACAAACAAACAGAAAGAAGCCCAAAGCAATTCACCTAATATTACAGCAACCTTCCTGCTTATCATCTTTGTAGTTGTTCTAGTCTTTCTAGGCTTCAGGTAACCTGTGGCAGGCTTCCAGCTTCCATGGAGTTTAAGCAAATGTCCATGGATTGGTGTTTGATGATGGTGATACTGTATGTGATCCATCAAGAAGCTTTAATCTCACACCAACCATACAGGCAGCTGAGCTTATAGTGAGGAATGATGGGCTATTTTGGAGACCTTATGTCTGTGCAGAACAGGGATCTACATTTTCCCTTTGTGAATTCTGTACACTAAATGACACCAATTATTTCACTGTTTGCTTTTAAATAGAATTTACATCTGCTGTCACTGATTGGCAATAAGAATTGCTTGGATACCTGTTTGGGCTATCATTAACAGCTGAAAAACAAGGACAACACTTCCTATGAGGGATGGTTGCTAAGTTGCTTCATGCGCATGCAGACAAGCTTGATTTTTTTTTTTTTTTGAGGTCTGGACATCTGGGTTGAACTTACTGTGCAGCACTGAGGCTGTGCCTGCATACACAGGATTGGCTGAGGACTTCTGTCTAGACATTGATAGGGCCAGAAGTACCCTGTTGACTCTGTTAAGGTGCAATTTGATACCATTTTGACCATGAGGGCCATTAGGAGCATTGTTGTTAGTCAGAATGTTCTGTCACTTTACACTTCATACAAAGCTGTTTTTGGTTATGTCTTTGCTGTGCCTTCCAACATTTATTTGGTATATTTACTTTAACCCCCATTTTACTCTGCTTTACTTAGATTTAGGTGCAATGTCTGCTGAAGTTCATAGCTGGTTTCTTTCCTATAACAGTTGCTGGAGTAGGAACACCATTTCTCACTCCTGTTTTTAATGGTTTTTTTATTCAAAAAATGTTAAGATGCATAGTCAAAGATGACTTAGATTTCTGGAGATGAAGTCTATGCAAGCAAATGGAAAATGTCACCTTCTTGGCTGATTTTTCTCTTCAATAAATTTACCTGTTCTGGAGTCCACAGAGAAATATGGCTGTCCTTGAAGAATACTGTAGACTACTCTGGCACTGTTCCCATAGGTAGGGTCATCGGCATCTGTTGCTGTCACCTGGATAACGGAAGTGCCTGACAAAAACAGTGCAGTACCTTGTTAGATTTGTAGCTGTGGAGAGAGGACATGGATCTAACGAGGTTCAGTGAATTATAAATGTTCTGCTACACCGAATCTTTGCTTAGGAGCCTATTCTCTGTTTGATGTTTGAAGGATTGACACATACAACTCATTACCACTAATGGGATTGACAGGCACAAATCCATTAGGAATCAGTGGGCCAGCAAATAATCAGCAGAGAAACAACACTGTATGGCATTCTTTTAAGAGTCATATGGTCTCCGTTTCCCACCTTCTTTCTGCATTGTATATTCTGAAGCACTAAAATACTTTATAAAAAACAGACTCAGTATTTTGCTAATGGAAAAAGAAGAAATTGCTGAGATAGTCCACTGAAAATTATACATTACCTAAGAAGCTGAACAGAAGAAAAAGGTATGTGAAAAAAATCCTAACTCCCCCCATTAAATATCAGTGAGGCATCCATTCAGAAATATCAACACAAAAGTATGAATATTGTAGGTTTGAAATTACAGCTGGTGGATAAACTGCACTTATTTCAAACTATAGCTATGCATTTTGTCATCCACAAAATGTGAACAAATACATAACTTACAGTGTGATTCTATGCATATCTACTCAGAAGATCTTTGAAGTACAGAATTGGAAGACCTGAAAATCCTATTATGGTGATGGGGGTGGGAGGCTATTTATTTGTTCTGGACTCTGACAGCCCTATCAAAATGTATTTTTATGCATAAATACTAGTATCATATCTGCAATGTTAGACATTTTGTGGGACACAAACTAGACAATATTGGTTAATAACAGAGTTCAGAATACGTTCATTTTCTCCCACTCATATCAAAAGAACTTTCCATAGGCTGTATTGCATAGCACAGTGTACCAATGGTATATTTCTTAGCATTCCTTTTTCCAAATTTATCTTTGCAATTTTAGGCACTAGAATGCAAAACTGGCACTTGTGAATTATACTGAGCTGGACCGTGTTTATACCGTGTTTCCCCAAAAATAAGACACTGTCTTACATATATATATATATATATTTGGCTTACAAAAACACACTACGTCTTATTTTCGGGGTAGGTCTTATTTTTTTATTTTATTTTTTTTAACGTGTACAACAATTCACACTTATTCATGTATAACAGCATGAACACATGCACATTTGGTACATTTGGTATCACTCTGCCTGGGACGGGAGCCGGCGCTATAGAGGAAGCAGAGGCTTATGCGGCTCTGCTCCCTCCGCAGGAAGTGGAGGGAGCAGAGCTGCATAAGCAAGTTTCCTCCACACAGTGCATTAAGTTAAAGTTAAGAAATAAAGTGTTAAAAGGCTCTTTTTGTTCCCCGCTGGCCCTGAGAATAAACACAGCTGGGTCTTATTCTCATGGTAGGCCTTATATTTTAGCAAGTACCAAAAATAGTACTAGGTCTTATTTTTGGGACAGGTCTTATTTTCGGGGAAACACAGTATATATACAGCCCCCCAAGAGCATACACAGAACTATAAACATGCCTGGTGGTTAACTGGGCGACCGCACTGAGATCATTCAAAGGACCTTTTAGGGATGTGTTGCACAAAGAAACGAGAATGGTCTCACACTATAATAAAAAGAGGCAAAACTACGTGTACGTATAGTTGTGCAAGGCTATAATAAACAGGAACTTATGGGGAATGAGGAATAAGAATCATTCTGAAAATCTATAACTGCACATCAGCTTGTCTTTCTGTACAATAAAATATGATACATGCGAACAGCAGGTGGGCAAGATTTCAATATTGTCTTAGAAAGTGCAAAGGTCTGGAGGCTACCCTTTATTCGACACATGATATTACAAGAAGACCAATAGATTTCTTATCCCATATACTTTTTCAAGTTTAAGAGGCTTTAAAACTACCTCTGCTGGTCCCTGATCTATAGGCAGTCAAAGTCTCTTTTAGCTCTTGGTGTAAAACTGGCCAAGGCTCATGACTGATCTAATTTACACAGGATGGTGATGGGCCCCTGGGGATAGCTAAACAGCTTGAAAATCAATGAAGCGCAAGGCTTGTTGCTACAGGTCTCTGGGGTCTCATCTCATCTGTATGGCTCTTTGCACTCTGTTTTGGGCATATGGATGGCAGGTGGCAGCATCTCCTGCTTGAGTAACAGACTGTGCCCCACACTCCTTTTACCGCCACAGCAGACCAACGCAAGAAACAGAACACTATTGACTAGCCTCATGCGTGATGGTTTGCTGAACTTCCTATGCATTTGCCATCAGCTTGGAACTTCAGGATGTGGGTGGGAGCTGAAACAACTGGCAGAAGACCCCTTATTAGGATGGTGCAATGAAGTCAGAAGAAGTGGGAAGAAGCTCAAATGAACACCCAGACCTCTGGCTTCTCAAAGCGGCCTCTTTCCCAGGTCACCAGTAGACACCTGTTTAGCTATGTTAAGTTTGGCAGGATCAGCCACACAATCCAATTTATACAATGTTCTGGCAAGGGAGAAAGTGCAGAGCACATACTTTGGGAGAGGATTTGCACATCAACAAATAAACACCCCATGAAGTGGCAGTGGACAATAGTAACCTCTTTCTGCAAACTATATGCCCAATTGTGCTGATGGAAAAGTCTTCTTAAGATGTTTTAGGTCATACACCTCTTCCCATATACACATACCTGGACCCTATGGTCATCTAAGGAGGTCTTTCTCTGAGAGCTACCTCTAAAAGAAGGTAGGAAGGGCCTTTTTAGCTGTGGCACCCTGATCATGGAACCACCTCCTCAGGGAGGTGTACCTGGTGCTGACCATTTATATATTTTATTTTCCTGGCACTTTAGCTGTTGAATAATTTTATAATGTTAATGATGATGTTACTGGATTTTATACTAGTTTTATCTATATGTCACTGGCACTGTGTGATTTGGCTTAATTCTTGTATAACATGCTATTATCACTATTTATTGTTACTGTTGGTTGATATTGTGATCCAATGAAGGTATCTGCCTTCTGATATATTCTATGTATATTACATTTTTAGATGGTTTTAAATTGTTCACTGTTTTGAGAGCTGTTGCTAATTAAACAATGTATAAAAGTTTTACATGCATGCATATCCTGGTCCTTGCTCTTCTCTTGTACAATGCTAGGAAAAACAGAGTATGGAGTAGGGCAAACCCAAACAACATCAAGAATCTTCTCCTACATCCTTCCTTGTGCTCTGACAAGGTACCCCAGCCAGGAACACTTTCCTTTTGCCTTGCCATGCCAAACAATAAAGGTAAGGGAGGTAAGCACAGAAGATGAAGCAAGAATGACAATGAATCAAAAAAAGAGAACTGATGTTCAAAGAAGATGAAGACTATGTCCAAGTTCTCAAGATGTTTGGAAATAGCACACTAGAGGGATTATGTTTTGACTGGATGTGTAAGAGGCTATATGTCATACCAGGGGAAGGTTGTGCTCTGACTGGCTGAAATTAAAGCCTAAATTGTACACGTGATGTCCATCCTTCCTTTTGCATCATTTTGTTAAGGAGTTTGAAGAATGACCAAGGATTAATCTAGTATATTTATTGATCAGTTTATTATGTATTAAAAGTGAGTGTCAAAGTCCTTACCCACTGGTGACATTTCTGGTACTGAGGCAACATATGGTCCATCCAGGAATCTGGGTTCATTGTCGTTGATATCTTGGATTTTGATGATAAATTCAGATTCTGGTTCCATTGGTCTGCCTGTCCGTCTATCCAAAGCTTGAGCCCTTAGGGTATACTGGGATCTCTCTTCTCGGTCTAGCCGCTGGATGGCATGGATATCTCCAGTAGTATCATCGATGGTAAATACAACACCTGCTCCTTCTCCTGATAGAATATATTTGATGGATCCATCACCTCTGTCCATATCAGAGTGGAGCTGCAGAAAGTAACCAGGTGCATTTGGAGCTTTAGCACACATTATGTTGAAGAGCAGATAAAGAATTTGCTTCAGGACATTTGTGATCTTATGGTAGAGACATCCCAGTAACAATAGAGTTTCTTAACACTATCACCACCACCACCTCTGTCATTGCTATGATACTCGCCTTATTTATTTCATTTTTATACTGCCCAAGAGCCAAAGTGCTCTGGGTGGTTAACAAAAGTTAAAAACAGCATAAGCAGGAGAGACATAAGGCAATAAAACCAGCATAGAAGAATAGCAGTAGTACTGGATAAAATGCAGTATTAAAAAAAACCCCTAAACTTAAAAAGTCAACTGTTGAAATACTGGGGAAATATAAAGGTTTTCACCTGGTGCCAAGACGAATGGACAGTAGGTGCCTGGTGGACCTCTTTGGGGAGCTCATTCCATAGCCAAGGCCCAAGAAGGCCCTTCTCCTGGAAGTCACCCTCCTTACTTCCTTTGGAGGGGTCTCTTGAAGAAGGCACCCTGAAGATGACCTTGGGGTCTGGTTAGGTACCCAAGGGGCTTATTTTAGTTGACAAGCTGCTTTCTAATCTATACTGTGCTCATAATTAATAACTCGTATAACTTTAACTGAGATAAGTATTGAATGTTCCCATTTTAGAAATAGGAAATTGAGGCAACCTGTTAGCAGCATTTGCGCTCCAGTGTCCGTGTATGCAAAAGTGCCATTTTGTTTTTCAGTTCTGGGCTATGGCAGGGTGGGGGGAAGCGGAAACATTCACGGCAAGATTCAAAGACCCACTTTTGTGATTGTTCTAGGATCTTTGTATACAGAAAACTGAATTAGTGGAAGGGTAATTTTACATAAGGTTCTCCTAATGCTGAACTGAATGACAATGCACAAATAATATGCAGAAATTAAAAAATTGAAATGCCCAGGATTTAGCAGCTGTTCCTTATACTCATGAATCAGTTAGGGAATAAAATAAATACTTATTACCTGACAGCCCATCACCAAGCAAAACGAAGTTGAAACACATCCAGTTGCTTTTGTTTGCGTTTATAGGACAGCTTTTTACCCTTCCCATCCCTATTGCTCAGATTACACAGACCTCACTGAGTCTACTTTGTAAGCTCCTTGGAGCAGGGAGCTGTCTTTTCCTAGTTTTTGATGCTGTAGCAACACGGTCATTGGTGAAGCAGAGTCTGTCTGTGTCAGTGAAAGCTACAGTAGCTCCCTCCTCCCACGACATCCCATTCCACCAACATTCTGTCATGCCGCAATATAACCAAGAAACAAAGGGACAGGGTACAGATATGGGATGGCTCAGTGTTATGGGATAAAGTAAATTGGCAGCAATCTGGAACACAGCTGGCAAAAACACTGCTTCTTACTGGGCTCATGAAGAAGAGCAAATAGGGTTAAAGAATGGCTGTCTGTCATTTTTTTCTATGGAGGGAAGTGAAACATGGCCCTTAAAACCAATATTGTGGTGGAGACAAAATGTGCTCACTGTTCTGGGTGATCTACCTACCACCACCACCACCAACTCCTCCTCGTCCTAAAGGCAGCTCTAAGGCTGTGAGAGATGGGTAGCAGTTCTCTGACTTTGCCCCGTCCACAACAAGTTGGAAGAGAGGAAAAGAGGTAATGCAACTTCGACTGGAATTGAAAAGAAGTATTCCTTTTTTCCATCTAGGACCCAAAGACTGTTCAGCCTGGGGAATAGTTATTTGCTCACTTACTGAATTTTATTAATTTATATTCCTTCAATATTGGTTTTCTTCATTTAACACATTTCTTGGCCCTCTTTCAGGGAGGAAACCCTTCCAAGGTGGCATGCAACAAGGAATTGATGCCGTCATAAAAACAGTAAAACTACAGTAAAAAACAAGAACAGCAGCAGAAATTTTAAAAATGAACAAACACGCAACAAAATAAAATAAAATACAGCAAGCAACAGCAGCTACAGCTCAGTTCCCAGAAACATAATCAGGGGTGGTTGCATGTTTTCAGGGCCATCTGAAAAGCATGCAGTGATGCAGTCTGCCAGATCTTTGATAGCAATGTATCCCAGAGGTGAAGAGACACTGTGGAAAAGGCCTCCTTTCATACAGGTAAAAATACACATAACAGTTTGGATACAGACTGGTTACACATAGTTCCTACTGAAATTAAGTCATGACTAACTTGTTCCATTCATTACAATATGATCTAAATGGCTGGATCTAATGAAATATAAACATTTTTGGGGTGATTCCCAACATAGAAAAAATAAATAGATAAATTCACACTGACTGCTGGAGAAAAATATAGTCCGATTGCCACAAAATGAGATAGTTATAATGCAGCCCTTGCAAAAGAGCAGGCCAAGGTAAGCAGCTTGGAGCATCTGAAAATCCACAACAGCACAGCTGCTAGAGATGATAATGCATCCTAGAATATTAAAGGGAATTAGCAAATTAATGCACTGCATGGTGGCTAATTAGTTCTGAGTAGGCATTGATAATTTGGAAAGCAACAGAACACAGACAAGCAAAATACAGTATCAATTATCTTTTACAAAAGGCAAGGAGAATGATTCAATTTGTTACAAGTCTGCTAAACACCTTTGTGGTGGGAAATAATTGAAAAATATTAAGAGCAAAATCACTCGAGGCCTCATCCAATGGTTTACGGAACCACAAGTTGCAATAGTCACAATGGGTTCGGGAAGACTTCCCCCCCCTAAAAAACCAGCCTGCTTTTCTGTGTGTGTGTGTGTGGGGCGGGGGGGGGGGGGGAAATGGAAGGAAATAATTGAAAGTGTGGAACACTAAAGCCTGAGCGATTTTCTCTAAAGAAAATTCTACTCAGGTCAATGGGAATTGCTTCCTCATGGGTGTGTTATTTGTAGAGAAGAGGTGGTGTTCCTGGTACAACAAAACACTAATCACCCGTTAAGTTAACTTCATTGCCTTTGTTTCTACAGTCTAGCATATTCTAGGCCACGGATGGACGAGGCCAGGAGAAACAGAGATTCACAGTATGTGAGGGGGTGTTACACGGAGGTGGGTAGAGACCTGTTTTCCCCTGTGGAGGGGGGCAGGATGCGTTCCAGTGGAACAAAGCTCAGGGAACCAAGGTTCAAACTGGATGCCTGGAAGTACTTCCTGAGAGTTAGGACCCCGAGGGTATGGAATGGGCTTCCACGGGAGATGGTTGAGGCCTCATTGGTGAAGGTGTTGAAGGACAGGCTAGACATACACACAGTAGGCATGTCGTGAGTGAGCCGAGGGTCAGACTAGATGGTGCAGGAGACCCCTTCTGAGTCGCTCTATTTCTGTGTTTCTATCCCTACTCAGTCATGCAGCTCACTAGCTGATCAGGGTCCAGTTGGTGGCTGGACTCACATGTCGCAACAAGCGAAGCAGTGTGGTTGCAGTTTTTTTTTACCTCAATGTGCCTGACAAACAATCAGGCTCACAGTGGTAACACTTCCCCCTTCCCTGTTTACCTCCCTCTCAGTCCTCCAGGAAGTATCTCAGAAGGCATCATGAGGAGAAAGGAGGCTCTTCCCTGACAGCCATGAATGTGAGCCAAGTTCGGCTCGCCATGACAGCTCGCCAAGCAAGCACCCCTTCGCTCTGCTCTGTCTGGAAGCAGAGCAGAGCGAAGGAGAAGGGAGCTAGCCAAGCAAGCACCCCTTCTACTACAGGGGGACCACTGGAGCAGGAGCGGTGAGTGCGACACCTGTGCAGGTGAAGGAGGGCGGTGTTGTAGACAGGAGCAGCACTGCCGGCTGACTCTCCCTCTGCCCTGGCTAGAAGGAAGTCCCTCATGTGTGCAAGCTGGAGAGGCAACGAGAAACTGGATGGTGGTGCCACTGGGCAGCAGCACTGCACAGCTGGGTCCTCCGCCACTCCCCTCTGCATGCCTTACAGAAGGAAGGGCGAGGCTCAGCGCCCACCTGGGGACCACGCTGCTCAGCTGATTCCCCCACCTGCCATGCATGTGATCGAGGATGGTGGGAGTCAGCTGGGTGTTGGTGCCCAGCTAGCGGTGGCAACTGTCCTCACTCCTGCTTGCCAGGAAGGTCTCCCCAACCCAATGCCCACCTAAGTGCCTTTTTTGTATGTGGCAGGGGTGAAGGGGGAGGCTGCGTTGCTCCCCTTTCTCACTCAGCTTGCCAGGGAGGTGTTGCCAGATCAGGAAAATCTGGGCAAAGGCCACCTCCCACTTTGTCGCTACTGCTTGCAGGAAAGGCACTTGGATGCGCATTGTGCTGGGCGTGCTTCTCTCACAGGCAGGGACAAGAAAGGGAAGTGGGTTGAGGAAACAGCAGTGGCAGAACCCCCTGCTGGGCACTGCTTCCCACCTGTTTGCAGCCCCTCTGGCACTTGCAGGGGGGCAGTTTGGGAATCAGCTGAGCAGTGCTGCTTCTGCTAGAAATCAGACATTTAGGGCAGGAGGCAGGCAGGCAGCCATCAGTGGTGCTCTCTGGTGGGCTGCTCATGCCAAATGGATTCTGGTTCTGGCCCTGGTACCACAGAGTTGTGCATTCTGGGCCTGGATGGCCCAGGATTACGGCATCAATAAAATGAGGCAGAGGTGGAAGAACTGTGCTGGTACCTCGAGATCCTTGGAGGAGGGAGCAGTACAAAACACAATGAACGAATCAGTGTGGGAAGATACTCTCTCAGTGTCCTTCCTCTAAGGGTTCCCAGGGAGGATGCCACTAATATAGGAAAGGATCACACCATGACTTGCGCTCACATGGGTCACATCCTCTTCAATATCTGGAGTAGCTCAGCAGGTAGTCTAAAACATTTGCATCTCACCTTTCCTTCAAAGGTCTCAGAAGACTGTGCACAGGAATGATTCCATGTTATCCTCATGATGCAATTGATTAACTGACACATTATGAGGCTCATGTGACTCCCTCATCCCAGGGCTAGCCTGACTGGAAGGCAGAATGAGGCCGCTGCTTCAGGCAGCAGATGCTGGGAGTGGGAAGGACCAGGGA